CATGTTAAGGAGCTAAGCATGTAAGGAGCTAAACGCGTCGAAAAAGTGAGACAAAACGGGCGCTTAGAAATGTGTTTAGGAGCTAAACACTGTTTTTACAGTGCAGACTCGGTACTACCAGTAAAATGTGTTGTTGAAAATAAATTGAGTTGTGCGTTTATGCATAGATGTAATTCGACCAAAACCAAAAAAAAAATTTTTTTTTCGCAAATGAAAAACCCCAAAAGACGAATATTGACTGTTTCCTCAAGCTTCCTTTCGTAAAATAGCGAATTAGTAGAAAAGAGACACCGCAAGCCAAATGTTCGAGTTGCTCGTGCATGCGGACTATTGGCTTTTGTGAAATGATTGAACGCCGGATAATCAAGGCCTTCACACAAGGCCCAGAAATACCTAAAAGCAAATATAAAATACGCAAGAATAAAAATGGAGCAATTAACACGCTCGATCCTTCGGGGAAGCACTTTGCAAACCAAAACGTAGTTACTAGTGACTTTTTCGAAATGAAGTGGCACATTCCGGTAGGCCATCCGATGCCATTAACAAACCTTTATTTTTGATTTACAGGCTAATGCCTTTTTGGTAGTCAATCAGACACATTGCTTTTCTAACATTCACGGTTCATAACATTTCATATGCCCATAGGGCTAACAGTAACTCTGATAAGAGGTTGAATTATTAATCAAGAATTCTATAGAGAGCAATGTTCACTGACTATGTATTCGGCACAATAAACAAAAAATCTTCAGTTCAAAATATTCATAGGGTAATAAACCCAATAATCAGTAATAAACATTGCCGGGTGGACGCACATTAATGACATTCTTTCCGTTAATACGAATATAAGGCAGTTTAGAACCTGATGGCTGATTGAATGGATATCAAAATAATTTGAAAACGTATTGATGGACGCAGCACACGCAGTTCTGCAATACTTGTGCACAGTGTTAGGCGTAATGCATTATTTTAAGGAAATACAGCGGCGGGTGATCTTTGTTTCAATGTTTCCAATATTGACCTGGTGTTGCTGTTTATATGATGTTGCAGTTTGTCCCCAAGCAGAAATGAACGGCAACATCAAAAATCAACATATCCAATACAATTTCCCGGGCCTCATTTGTGTCGTATTTGGCGAAGTATCTTTATGAATATGCAAGGTGATTGTCGATCGTTCGTCGGTTTAGACAAAAAAAGCAAGATCTATCCCATAATATGTCCTTCAAAATGTTGCTTTGGAAACTGGTCTTATACACCAACTACTGGTAATTCCAATTAAACCATAATAATACGGACAAGCAATTTATGGAGCCTTATCGATCCATGAGATAAAAACACCAGCGGGTCTGTATCAAAAGAACCTTTATTTCATGCTTATTCCAGCAACCATACAGCAAGAAAGAACCAGAAGGAAAAGCAATCTTAAGAAATATCGTTAATCGCTATGACCTTGGAAAGATCTTTCTATCGTCTTTCCTACTTACACGTTTTTTAGATATATTGAAAATTATGTATGCCTGTTTTCCGTTTTCCACTCAACGTAAATTTCTGCCAATTGCTCCGCTTGTGAATTAAATAGATTACCCTATTGTTGGTAAACTACTCGGAGCAGAACTTAAGAATAACTGAACATATTTTGACCTCGTTTTCTATTACGCTTGGATTGAGATGACCCCAAGTCACCTATGGAGTTTATCTATCCTTCACATCTTTCTTCGTTTAAGGGATTAAATAGGTTAAAATTCATTTGGTATTTTCAATATCAATGAATTCCACGTTCAGAGATTAAATTAAGCTTTTATGAATTTGAAATCCACAGGCGGTCCAAACTCCGTAGACGCTGACCCTGGAATTAATATGGCTCTTTCAAAGCAGAATTCATCTCAGATTAAAAGACGTGACGATGTAATGTAGCGCATATACAGCCAATAAAACAGATTAGTAGTCAGTCTCTGCATGCAAATAATTAAAAGGGAGCCTGATTAAAAGGTTCTTTGATTTGGTAGATAATAACTGCAGCGGGCTCCTGGTGATTGCTATCCGATGTTTACCTTTTCCGATATAGAAATATTACTTTTTCAATCAGATACTAAGAAGACATTTCCCTTACAACGATTATAATCCCTGGAAAATATGCTTTTTAATATTATCATGTGAATTGATTATTATATTTAGTTGTATGATTTCCAACGGAAATGTACTTTCACATCTTAAATATGCTCATTGTTGAAGTTTAATCAAGTACCTGGTTGAGGCCAGAGAACTTGGTCACATTAAAGAAAACATCGGTTTCTACGAAAACCACCAATGTCAAAATGCTTTAGCAAAAATAAGAAAGCAATGTATATAAAGAGATCACCGTTATCGCGAAGAACTGCATCACGTGTGCATCAGGAAGGGTTCTAAGATGTAAACAAGATTAGCCTAGCTGCTCTTCAAATTTTAATCGGCGAAATTAGAATTCATTTCACCTAGCCATGTCATCTGTATTGTATTTGTAGTTTACAAACAATTAATGATGTGTCTTAAACCGGATTTAAACATTTGAAAAAAAAATCACAGCATATATGTAAGAACACCCGAATCATTTTCAAAATTAATATCAGTTTTAAACGAAGACGACCGAGCTTAGGTCTGCACCCTGCATATGTGATTGTGTATGCGATGGCCTATGCAACCAATGAAAAATACAAAAACGTACAAAATTACTGACAATGTGGTATCTAAGAGCCCTCTACCTACCGCAAGAACCTACCTCAAGTGACTTTCCGCCCCTCTGTTTAGAAAAATAAAGAACAAAGGGGTCACGTTTTCAAAATTTAGAAATAATTCAGTCCTCTGCCTCTGAGTTTACTGCCAAAATTAACATTTACTCATGCAAATAAATTACAAGTTTTACTTAAAATAACCACCTCTTCAAAAAAAAAAAAAAATAATAATAATAATACTAATAATAATAATAACAACAGTAATAATCATCTCTTAAACAGATACAGATAATTGTAACGTTTTTTAATAATTATTTCAATATAAACAAAACTGTAAATCTTCTGGCAAAAATGCTTAATTAAGAGGGATAGAGGGAAGTGTGTAAAACTAGAGCACAATTAGTAACTCGATGACGACGGCCTAGCTAGTGTGTAAAAGATGTCATTTCCGCCTAGACCGCCTTTACATGACGAAGTTTCCTGTGAGCTATTATAGCGCCAGCGTTTGTTGACGTCTGTACTTTCGCGCACGTTAATCACCCATACGCTGATTGTAATCAGCTTACATGTTAGGTGCAGATCATTGACACCTCTAGAAAGAGAGAGATGGGGAAAAGTACCAGAACAAGTGCGACTGTAAGTAAATCCTCAAAGAGCAGAAAGAATCACTCGGCTGAAAAATAATATTGTGGCAAATTCAGCTCTATGTTCTCCAACTCACAACCCTTTTCAGCTGTAATTGGCCTATAAACTAGTGGGTATTTGATGATCTTAGCATTAAGAACCATCAAGTGAACCAGCACATTAATTACCACAGACAGCTTCACAGACACAGAATAAATTAGTCGGCATTGATGGCACCCGATCACTGGGACGTTTGCGTGGCTAACAGCGTTCCAATGCCTTCTACAAAAAATGGGTTAGCTTCGATTAGATTGTATCTTTGAAAATGCCAACATAGATTAACCATAAGTCCTCCATACACTACTTCAAAAATGCCGATACGTGTCCAATATATTACTTTAATGCATCACATAAAATCCTTTCCGGTATTAAATCCGTTTCGTGGAATATTGTGCCAAATTAAGTCTCACCTGACAAATAGAACGCTGTAGTATTATCTCACCTAACGATTTATTCCTTTCAAATCAAAATGTCATAAAAACCGTTTCAGTATCAACAGATTGCCATGAATGTTTGCACGTTTTAGTAGGATAAATTAATTTAAGTAGTAGAATATCTTTTTTATGCTTTAGTTTTTAGGTCATCTATATGTGATTATTTTACAAGACCATTTTGTTTGTAATGCCTATGTTTGTATGTATGCTGTTATGCAAATCCTTTTACTTGAATATGTGAACAACTAATATCTTTATGCAGCCTATTAGTTGTTCCATAGCAAACACTCTTAGACGCACTGAGCATAAGTGTATAATTTGATGATCATATGTTTTGCTGCTTGAAGTATAAAAATATAGCTAGCTCACTGTGATCTGTCGCAATGCGGTTTACATCATTAGATTTTAACTCATTCTAGGCTAACGAGGGATTACAAAAGTCTCGATCCTATTTTGGCGAATGCTCTTCTTTTCCGTTGTTAACTGTTGCAATGATTGGCATAGTTAAATTATGTGCGAACAGGGAAAACTTAAGGAAAAAATCGCGAACATCACGTTTGAAATTGATCCAAATGATCGTAGGATGTAGGTATGTATTTAAAGCAAGCCCTCGTTCAAGCAGGTTTCCATTTAATTATATCATTTCTTACCGTAACATGCGCCTAACTGGGAGATGATCCACACAGAGTATTGGCAGGAGCGTATGAAGCGCTTACATGTGGAATGAAGTCACATCGAAAGAACCTTCCCCGTCACCAATTTTCTTCTGTTGTTGCCCCGCTGGCACGATATAGCCACGGTTGGTCCATTTCTTCTGCTCAGATCAACGCAGTTTGTGGCAATCACAGCCGATTGAAACCGTTTCAGAAATCATCCACATCAATGCAGTAGTCTAAAACATAAGGCACTATGGTAAATTAACGTAAAGATTTTAGGAGAGAAAATCTTTAGCTATAAATTAATATAACCAATCAAAATTAAAAGGTCGTCAAATCAATACTGCAATCATGAGTAATGACTACCAGTATGCAAATAATTTATTCTCGTCAAGCAATAGTATGATCATCAAATTTCACCGCGATTTGCACATACTATAGGCACAATAGAGAGATAGCTGCAGCAGTAAATTACAGCAGAGTAGATTACTCTTCTTATGTGACGTTTCGTATATTTCCAGATGTCTCTGCAACGCTTCGGTTGTCACTCCCCCTCGAGGATACATCTTTTGTACCTCAACCCTTTCGTGTTGCTCCTGTTACATAGTAATGTTACAGAGTTGTGTAAGACTGCACTATCTTTCCGTTGAGTACTACTAGTGAAAGCTGTGATGTTTCTTCATTTATGTGGTTTTGTGACTGTCGTCTGGTGAACAACATTTCTTCTTCTACGATTGATCGTCTGCTCAGCAAAACGATTGATCGTCTGCTTCTAGCCATCTGCGCACGCAACTTTGGCTCACGCATGGTTTTATCATCCCGGTTCTAGTGGCCAAGCAGATAGCTCTACCCCGAGCAGCAGCGGACCACAGGGTATGGCAAGGTCCCACTCCTACAGAGCACGCGATACATCCATAGAAAACGGCTCGGGAACTAGTTTCAGGGAACAAATGTTAATAAGGAGAAAGCGAGAGAGCGAAAGTACCACCAGTGAAGCAAAAATAACTCCCAATCCGCTCACTGCACCATCTGATGCATTGCCATTGCAGTTCAGTTCCGGGAATCAAACAGACATGCAGCCCCAGCCGGGTCCACCTCTCAAGACCCCTGTATACCAGCCCTTTATGCAGGGACCTCCTCCAGACCCGTATACAATTATGCAGAGCAGGGCTCACAGCAACAGAGTTACCATTAACGTCGGAGGAGTTAAGCACGAAGTTATGTGGAAAACGCTGGACAGAATGCCGCATTCAAGACTCGGTAAACTGAAGACTAGTACATCGCATGAAAGTATTATGGACCTATGCGATGATTATAGTCTTATGGACAACGAATATTTCTTCGATCGTCATCCGAGATCATTTGCATCTATCATTAATTTCTATCGAACTGGAAAGCTTCACTTAGTGGAAGAGATGTGTGTTCTGTCGTTTAGTGATGATCTGGAATACTGGGGAGTTGACGAGCTTTACTTAGAGTCATGTTGCCAACATAGGTATCACCAGAAAAAGGAACATGTTTACGAGGAAATGAGAAAGGAGGCGGAAAGTCTTCGGGAAGGAGGTGAAGAGGAGAACTTTGGTACAGGTAGATGTGCCAAATGGAGACAAAAACTATGGGATTTACTTGAAAAACCTCAAACCTCCAGGGCTGCCCGGGTGAGTAATATCACTTCTGTCAGCGAGTGGAGGCTTATATCATTTTTTTAGTTTCTTTAACTTGAGAATTAAATTAGATATTGCATTTCAAATTATATTCTAATATATTTTCAAAGCAAATGTGTTTGTATTAAGCTTGGAGAATGAACGCGTAGCATAGTTTCATAATTTACAAGCGTCTGTGTATTGCGTATACAGTTTATACTTCACACGACAGATTAACAATTCTCCGTTCACACATAAAACGATCACTTGTTTTGTCGAATGCATTTTTAGCTGCTACATGTAAGTGTTTCATTATGTTCTGCAGAGCCATAATATTAAATGAGCTCTGAGCAAAGGTCGAACTACAACACTGGAAGATATTTCAAAGTAACTGACACAACGCAATAAGAATACAAGTTCTTCTCTTCTACGCAGCACAAGCAAAACAGCGCGTTATGTAACCAGTGCGTAACTAACAGATAAACAATTGTGATTTCGTTCAATATTAACTATTAATTGCTCAAAATATTGCTTCACTGGGATGTGAGTAGAGAGTTGATACAAAGTTATTACTCGGTATTCATTGTTGTGGGGGATGTATTATCGACATTCCGAGAACTTTCCTCCGCCAAGTCACAGTGAGTCAATAAACCGTGAGACACTGGGTAATTTTGTTTTACACTTGACCGCTTGATGTTATTCCCGTGATGAAACACAAAAATCGGTGGTAATCAAATGATAAAAAGGCTAAATTTTCTTTGGGTCTTTTTCTGGTGCCAATGACGTCCGTTGTCTGTTTCTCAAACAAAAATCCTGTATGCTTCAAAATCTACACGACTTAATCCTCCCAGTATAAAACACGCAGGCGCAATGCGTTCGCAGCCTTTCTCAGGTACACATCCAACATATGTTCATGATTATACGTTAATATCTCAGCGGATTCCCATCCACTCTCCAATTATGTTACCTTGATTTAAATGTCAAGTGTTATCATACGGCTTTTATGCGCAGAGTAACGTTGTATATCCTCATTTCTAACCACACAGATGGGCAAATTAAACATGGTCCTCTTCCACGTTTTCAAAGGGATTTCCAGGCGTTAGCACCATTAAATACCATTACATGTTTCACGAACACAGCGTAATTAAGTAACAAAACATTGTGCGAAGAGCTGAGTGATACAGAAAAGTACAGTCCTTATCGTAGACCGCTAAGCATTTGCATTCTGAAGCCGTTATCACTCCAGGCCAGGCTAGCGCTTCGGGCTGACGCTTTGACACGGATGTACTTAATGGCGTGTGCTCCCAATAACCCTAACCTTTCCTGTCCAGTGATTTTTGCTTTTGACATAATTTATTTATATATAATAGTATATTAGTTATCAAAGCACGACAGTTTCATGCTGTTTATGTCTTAACCTGTTATATAATTACCAAGGACGATACCTTTGCAATTAAAGATGTGGGATGATGTACAAGTTGAATGTCTTGATCGAAATAAAGTCACGCAAGTCTCTTAGCTTTAGAATATGATTTTTATATTGTATATGCCTGCCATTAGTATGGCCAGTCAGTCGATGTCAGCAACTGTGAGATCTTGCCTATATCTCCAATGTTGGTTATGTTTCTAATGAAGTACGAGTAATTGTGTTATTCCATGATAAACAAGAGAGAAAGAAAGCTGTAACATCTTATCGCTAGCAGGGTACCTTATTATAACCGAGACTGAGCCGTGTTGTATGCTGTATGTCATTCTGCAGGTTTGATAATCTTCATACACTGTAGATTCGATAGGGAGTCCTTACATATTAGCCGAATTATGTGTTGATTATTTCCTGTAAGAGAAGTCTCTAAGGTCATGTAGCGTGTGATATTATGTTTTGAAAAATTAACACGAATGTTTCTCGTAGGTCTGTTAAAGCCAGCTACGAAGAGAGCAGATATCGACTTCGGCAGATGAGATACCTGTGCGACTGTTTTAACGTTCTGATACATCATTCGTCGAACACCTGTAAAGATACGCACGTTTTTCTTATTATAAGATGAAACGAGTTTTTTTTTTTTTTTTTTTTTTGACGAACGAGTCTTACTCGTCAGTTTTCAGGGAAATAGTTCCAGGCATCGTGAATGATTGCCTCCAAATCACACAGGCGAAAAGATCGTACTCTTTGGTTTTCAGGTACTACTGCGTTATCCTGAAGTATTATGTTACTCGACCAGCGTGGTTTTATCTCTACATACACATCTCCATAGTTGGTGCACGTACCGCGGTGTTGATACTCATATGTTATTAGTTGTAGTAGACCACCACGTGGACTTACAAAGGTTAACGACCTCAAGAGGTTACAACATTTTACTTCATTATTATGATGCCAAGGATTCTTAAGGTCAAGTTCAAGTCAGAAACACAGCCCAAAACGCCCTTTGTGTTGCAAGTTGAATTAAGTAATTATTTTTGAAAAGATGTATGATACATATATAATGTACTGGATAGGTCTATGATGTTTATTGCATTAAACAAAGAACTGAATTCGAAATGCGACCTATTCTGTCGTGAAGTCCCTGAAGGCAATGTACGTAGATTGCAGAACTCATTTAGTGGCACCAAAACAACCTGCCTGTCCTCATGATCCGGTGACAAAAGACTTCCGTTGTCTTCATTGGTCAACAGAAAGGCATAAACACTGCAACTGAAAGGCACAAAATAAAGCCAGCTGATCAAAGATTTGAATATTCATAACTTAGGTACAAAACAATTGCGTGCGATTTTGGGCTAAATACTCTGTATTTAGCGCTAATGGAGCACTGTTCCAACGGGATTTAGAAACCAGAATACCTTTCGCCTACGCAGGAGGAGAAGTGTCAACAGGTTCTGATGTTCAATCAGCATCAGAAATATTAAACAGCCAGGGCATTAAAAACATTGCCAGTAGGCCTAATGTCTTCCCTCGATATATGCTGATTGTTGATTTTTATCATTATCTGGAGTCTAGGGAGGGAGTAATTATTTGAGTCTGTCCTGATTACATAATGGAAAGTGCGTACCTCAGAGAATCTACCATCATTAAACGAGGTGCTTTCTAATAGACGAACAGCGTCCACCTAACATTGATTTAAAGCATACAATAATCTCAAAGAAGGGGAAATTTGGTCATTATTCACTGCCTTGAAAAAGACCGTCAAGAATTTAGCACCAATACTAATTTTCAAGATTATGTAAATTGTTTAATATTCATCAAAATAGATATCACTAGACAAGGAAGTGCGCCATATGTGATAAATATATTTTATTGTGGCGTCTCCAATATATCAGGAACAAGACATAGAAACCGTTTCTCACTTGATTACAAATATATGGCGATCAGTCATACATGCAATACTCTGTTACACACATTTCCTTTTATATGGGAAGTCAGGAAGTCACACCCGACGGGCTCACCAAACGGTTTTTGTTTTGTTTTAGTATACAAATAACGACAAACCGTGAGTGCTAACTGAGTACAACCATGTTTTCGGGTAGTAAAACATACTCATGGAGTTACGTTTAAACTATACCAATGGGAGGCCTAAGCGCCGCAAACGATGCCCATGCTTGGAAAGTGCCTCATTGGACCAATGGGATAATACAAAGAGACACTGACACTACCTGGCAAATATCGTACCTCGCACAAGGTGTGATATATTAAAAAGCGCTCTCGGGCGTAAAGGGGTCTCAAAATTTACATTTTATTTATACTCTATATCATTTTTCTAAAATAATAGAAGATTTTATGTTTCAGTATTTTTACAAAAAAAGGCTGTGATTTAACAATAATACATTACAATAATGACATATGCTAAACCGTTAAAAAGAAGACAAGAACTCTCATGCATTATACAACTAGTACTTCATATTCAAAGACTGGAAACAGAGAGACGTGGTACTTAAATTAAATGACTAATAGTTCAATAATTTGACATCTGAAGAGAAATTTAAAACCATCATCTGCAGTAAAACACACACACCGGTTGCATTCAAACAAAAGTGACATATCCGCTCACGCCCATGAAATAGACCTAGTGGTACCTGTTCTACAGAAGAGCTGTAGCCTGAAAACTGGTCTTAATAACTTTTAGACCAGATATTTTTCCGCTCTGGCGGAATATAAATCACCAATTATATGAATTACTGTTTCATACCCGAAGAAGCATGGCCAAAGTTTTACCCCAATAATTACTCACTATTGTTACTTGAACTGAAGAAGACCAAAATTTGGGCCAAAATGTTTGGAGAAATTCAGATATTTTACTGATTTCAGGCTTCGACAGGTTTCAAACTTTTTCTTTCTCATTTACCAAAGCTAAACAAAGACTATTTCAGGCATTTGGGACATCTTGGTCTTACTAACGTACTTCAATGGGTTTCTTTATAAAAACTGGTACTAGCGACCCCCAAACTTAAATCTATTCAGATTCAAACTATCCGACTGATTTAAAAAAAAACATAATAATATATCAAACCAATCCTCCATAACTTACATATACAGTGCATTTCGCAGAAATGATATCCAAAGTGCTACATTTGACTTTCACAATCTTAAAAATGGTTGCATTATCTAGGTAGGTAGACACGTCGGGTGCACTAAAATAACCGCCTTTTTTTACCAAATAGCTGCATGCGGCAAGAAATGTTAAAATCTTACAGCCGTAGCTTTTTTTTCTGTCACGCCACGGATTCCATGGTCCATTTTACCTTTCAACATAGGCCCCTTCTCCTGTGACACTGTCAACTTGTCATTTTATACAGGGAATTGCATTTTAATTATAAAATAAGGTATCCCAAAATTAGTCTCAAGCGCGTTAAATCATCTGATGATCGAGTTTTTATTTGTATTTGCTTCTGACAGACGTGTATTCTAAACTATTGTTTCAACACGAGGGAAATGTCTAGCACGTGGTGGTTTGAAATTGCTGACACCCCATAAAACCGCGTCCAAAACACAGATCATTTGTCATGCACTTAATTAAAGTAATTTACAGCTTTTGATCATTGTGTATTTAATCAATAAAGAGAGAAGTCATTTTACAGATAGATAATTACAATGGTGTGCTTTTAAACGAGGGTGTCTCTGGAGTATTCTGAGCAAATTTGTACAACTGTCCTCAAAATTGAAAATCGTGGTAACACGTCCAGTGACGATGAAACTAGACGTTAACTCCATTGTCAAAGCCACTTGGTAACTTGGCGCTTTATTTAGTTGTCGTCAGCAGTAATTCGTTTGACAGTCGTGAAATGAATCCTTGCCAGAAGGATGACGCAATTTGTTGACGACATTGTTTGTATTTGTGAAAGCCCCGCTGCGAGACCGAGGCTACGGGCCCCGAGGGACAAAGCATGCTTTACTGACTTCCCACGCACTATCGATCGGCCATAGAATCCTAGCACTTCCAAGTGATGTAGTTGCACTGCAGAACACTATCTCATATTAAATAACACGTATAATGCTTGTTGCAGTCTTACTGCCTATAGTTTTTTAATGAACTTATTTACGCCGCTTACTGGTTCTGTTCATTAGTTTCAAATGTACATAGAGAGCATTATTTTGTGTTATTAAGAGCTCGGTTGAATATGTGATCTGACATTAAAAACCTTATATGCATCCTACAGGTTTGTATTTTTATAGAAGAGGCTTATTTTCATCGCTTTGAAACTGCTTGTTGGTATTATATGAATATGTACATGCCAGAATCATGAGGAGTGCATTCTATTGGTTGCAAATAGTTTAGGTAAATGAACGCATGTATTCTGAAATCTTTCTTCTTTTAGTCAACCTTATATATGACTAATAGACGTATATTTTGCTCCAGATGATACGAATATCCACGACATTGTCTAATTCTTACTAATGAACGTCAGTATTTCATCATTAGATTAACAGAAATTGGAAGTGGTGGTCTGTAATTAGTTCATTATTTTCCTCCAATGCCCGATGTTATATACTGTATGTATTTTAATGATCTTGATGTATTTATCGACTGTAAGTTGGTCGGGGCGTGTTAAACGTATCCTTTCCGTCCCTGTGCTGTTTGCAAAATGTCTTGTATTTTAAGCAATCTTCATTACTTTTTGAACGCCTCTACTGAACGTGGATTTCTTATGTCTTAGGTTTTCTATTTAGGCCAACTTCTCGTTGTCATTGTACTGCCTGAAGACTACAACATGTGACGGCTTGGGGCAGGTATGAACTTTCGAAGTCATTTATTGACGAAAACGGAATCTTGTGTCGGTAAACTGCTGCCACAAATGGTTTTTTATGAGGCCATATATTCTTCAGTAGTAATCGCAGTTACCGTTTACAAGTGCACAATTTCCCCGTAAACTAAATGCGATGCACCTACATCTTCCTCGTGAGCTTTGTCAATCTGGCAGTTATTCCTTTTGTTATTTGGTAATCATTATTATTTTTCCAAAAGAGACCGTTAATCAAAGAAAAATAAGATGCGTATTTTAGGGACAGCTTTGTTATTTATTTTGCGTGCGGCAAATTAAGGTCACAATATTCATATTGTTATTACCATAATATTTGTGGGATAGTTAGACGGTGCACTTTTATTTTGATCCCCTCGAAGCAACTTAGATTTGTATCACCCAACGGTGTTATGTTCTATCATGTCTTATACAAATTAACTACAGATTGTCTTTCTGCTTTGCATTAAAGGCGACCGTTTTACAAAAAATTCGCTTTTAATTATTTCCCGGGCGTTCGGAGCGCCCAATTCTGACGCGTTTTTTTTTTTTTTTCATGGGAGGACCTAAGTGCCTGTACACGCAAGCAACAGAACGTAAACTTTATGAACGTGCTCATTCTACCCTTTAGGGTTTTTTTCTGCATCGTTCTTAAGTCTTTGTGATAACTTTCGAACAAGTCTGACATGTAGGCCGTTTCCAGGAAAAAATTATTTATTGACGAAAAACACGCTTTGAGCAATCTGAGCTGCGAGGATGTTGTGATGCTTGAACTAGTAATTTTTTATATACGATGCTTTCTAAGATTGATAAATTTTTTAGTGATGTAGATTAACATCTGTAGGAAAATAACACTGTAAAGAAGTCTGAGGTAAATTGGAAAATCAAGTTATCCAGCAAATATGTCGCCAGCGGAAAAACTAGAATTTGATTGCATCGTTTCTATCAGAGGCCAGTCCAACCCCGCACGGTCACGTACTTCCTCGGCCACCCACTGAGCCAAAGGGTATGTCGACGGCATGTTTTACCAACCGCAGCATTGAAATTTTCTTTATTTCTTAGGGAAGGTAATATTTTGTGTTGGAATTGGCCGCCACCCAACCTAGAGAGACCAGAGTATGTCGACGGCATGTTTTACCAACCGCAGCATTGAAAATGTTAATATCTCTTGGCGAATGTAATATTTTTGTTGAAATTGGCCGCCAACCAAACCAGCGGGATCAAAGAAATATTCCCTTTGTTAAAAGTTTTTGTAAAAAAAAAAAACGTCTCGATATATTTATATTTGTGAAAGGCAGCCTGTTTTAGAACTAAGTCTAGCCAGTATGAGATGTTCAAGCACCGAGGGAGATTTATAGCAATGTGACGGTTTAGTGATGCGTCATGAATCTAGCGAAGCAATTTTTACTACAGCAGAGCCCAGCTGGAAAATCAATTTTACCTCAAACTCTGCAACTATTCTTCTTGTATTGGCTAAAGTGGAGAAAATGAACAGTAATATATAACGGTTTCTTCATGCTATTATCGCTCCCAAGCTGAAAATACCGGGGCTGCAGCTGCAGCAGCCGGACCTTGGTATAATTTATACATCGAGAGCTGCCAAGAGAATGTGAAGGATCAGGTGAAGAAATAACCTACATAGATTGAGGTATTCTCGGTTTTAACCACCTCTTGGGAGTTTATAAATATTTGACTTCACATTTAGATACCACCTCCGCCTCCTTCGCTTACGTGACTGCAATGACTTGCCCAAACAAACTGCTGCATTGGCAGACGCGTTGTAATAACAAGTTCACCCAGTATCTGATTAAATCTAGGCCCTCTGGCCGTGCCGACGTTACCTGCGCCGGTTCCTACTGTGTACAGGTAAATCCAGCTGGTTCCAGCGGCGAACCTATGGGTTTGCGTGAAACGCAGCACAAAAAATGTCACTGAAAGGTTTTTTATGTGTAAATACCCTTCAAATCTACTTGTTTTTTTTTTTCAATTCGGACCTTAAACATATGATAGAATCCCACAAATAATAGTAATTTATTTCAATACTTCCTTCTGAAATAGCAAGAACACTGTTACTATGATGGTCTCAGTGCTTGACAAGACATTCAGAACTTAATTATTCCACGAGAAATGGTAAAAAATGACGATTCCAAGTTCGAGGAAGCCACAGCAATGGTTCTAGCGGAAAATGTAGTTAAATTTGGCGCGAAAATCCCGGAGTTTACCTAAAAGCAGCCGAAGCGTGTATCGAGAATCCTTTTTTTTCTCATTGATCACAAATGTAATCAAGCTCTCCCAGCGTCTAAATTTAGACTTTGGTCAAAGAATTTGAACAAACGTTTCAAAAACCATTACACTATATTAGATATTTATTTGAACTGTTGTGGGATGCCTTTTGAGAATTAAACAGGACAAAGACTTTTGAAATAGAGCAACAGAGATTGTAGTGTCCTTATTTTAAAGAAGGAAAAATATCAAATGGTATATTCGCTTTATTGGACAACCTGTCCCTTGGGTTAGGCTCTGGTTTCCAATATATCTCAAGAAGTCATTCACAGTCAATAGATTCGAATATTGGGGTCAAACGTGCCTTTGTTTCATTATGATATACCTCAACCATAAATGTAAAATTTGATAGCAAAGTGAATATATTATTCTTTTTAACCATTTACCACGCAAGAATCCATGATATATCTAAAAATTATTAGACTGGGCTTTATTGCGATTAATAAACAGTATGTGCGGATATAAAACAAACTATACAGTCTGAACGAAACAAATGGCTGTTAGAAAATGTTTTTAGAAAGTAAGAAAGTATATAATTTATCTGAACTGTTTCAATATCAATGTTTCCTCATCACTCGGTTATTTGAATTGAAAATAATTGAAGAGATGGAGTTTTCGATTACAAAGTGCACAGAAGCAAATAATTAAATCAACTTCGGTTTAAATATATAGTATGCCTCAATATCTGAGAGGCTAATCTTATTGTCAATGTATCACTTATATTCTGAGACCAAGGACGTGGTATTGGAACGAAATAGATGAGATTGTCTTAAGACGTCAGATGATGCCGATATGGCATCACAGATAAAACCTATTTGTCGTTTTCCTTCAAATCTAATTGATCTTTGTTTTTTGCTTTTAAAATCTTGCAGTTGTGCGTCAGTTTGAAGGCTAACATTTGCGTTAAGTGTTGTTGTTCACCCACTGTAAACATAAGGTTAACCGAGCACCTGCTTAAACTGTTCTGTAAATGCTACTATTTTTTAACTTCAGTGGTAAACGAACACCAACCTTTCTCAGGATAACAACACTGATGCACTATAAAACAACAGTAAAGTTAGACTTTTCGTCCCAAAATTTGGTTGTGTAGAATGACATATGTACAACACTATTTTTATAACGTGCTTGCGCACAAAAGCAACAAGAACAAAATACTCAAAACAACACCATAATCAAAGAAGTGTTATTACATCGTGCAAATTATTCATGTTAATAAAGACATAATTTTATAAATTTTCATTTTTATTCCAGGTACTAGCTGTGATCTCTATCCTGTTCATTATTCTTTCCACCATTGCACTGACGTTGAATACCATTCCCTCAATACAAGTTGACGGGGATGACAACCCGCACCTAAACTTGGTGGAAGCAGTCTGTATATCCTGGTTTACATTGGAGTATCTACTACGGTTCTGGGCATCTCCGAACAAATGGAAATTCTTCAAGGGTTCTCTAAACATTATAGACCTGCTGGCGATCTTGCCGTACTATATATCTCTATGTCTAGTGGAATCAAACAAAAGCACGGAACAGTTTCACAATGTACGACGAGTTGTGCAAATATTCCGTATCATGCGAGTATTGAGGATTCTAAAACTTGCAAGACATTCAACAGGACTTCAATCTCTAGGTTACACGCTCCAGAGAAGTTACAAGGAGTTAGGTTTACTAATGATGTTTCTTGCTATTTTCGTCTTAGTCTTCTCAAGTCTGGCTTACTTTGCAGAAAAAGGAATACAAAAAGATAAATTCAGCAGCATCCCAGATACATTCTGGTGGGCTGCAATTACCATGACAACAGTCGGTTACGGAGACGTGGTTCCGGCGACACTTTGGGGTAAACTCATTGGTGCAGTTTGTTGTATCTGTGGTGTTCTAGTCATTGCTCTTCCGATTCCTATCATTGTTAACAATTTTGCAGAATTTTATAAAGACCAAATGCGCAGGGAGAAAGCTTTGAAACGGAGAGCTGCCCTAGAGAGGGCAAAGAGAACTGGAAGTATTGTTTCTTTTCATTCGGTAAACCTTAGGGATGCATTTGCAAGGAGCGTGGAACTTATAGATGTTGTAACAGACAGAAGTCAATATGATTCACGAAGTACTGCTAATAACAGTATTGTCAGTGACCACACGAATCCCAATACATCTATGCATTATGGCAGCCAGGCAAAAGTCAATACCAACACCTCTGCTAAACAAGGGAAGGACTTCCCTGAGGTATCAGACACGACAGTACCGCCTAATGAACATGGAGATTTTCCACTGGAGAGAAAAACCACAACGCAGCCTGTGTTAGGGGGCGAAACACTCAAGGTGAGCCTAATGTTATTATATACTAAAAATAATCCCCTCCAGAAATTTGTAGTTTTCCATCAAATTCTGAACAGTGTGTTTTTTTAATCAAAGCAGACATCATTTCACATCTCATCCAAGAAGGGGTATGGTCATTAAAAAAAAGGGGGGGGGGGGGAAGAGAGAGAGAAATAACACTTCTCATACATTTTCATACTGTTTTTTTTCTATTATATATGAACAATACTAAACGGGATAAAATTAGGCCAAGCATGCTATCATTATTCTTTTAGGCATACACAGGAATAACAGTATGAAAAACATTTGTGATTTTCTGGCTCTGCCTTGGCAGATGGTGGGGTGGTGATGGTGAGGGGGCATGTCTCCCCCCCCCCCCTAAATATTTTGTTTTTATTTACAGGCACTAAGACACAAAATGCCTGTATTTGTTCTGATTACCATGTTCATTTGACTTGATAATAGAATTTTACAAAAGTCAACAGACTATTTTCTTCAGTCATTACTGTCAATTATGTTCTTTAGTTTAATTTTGTAACTTTATGGGTTGAAGGTTCAGTGACCTTAAAAGGGCAAAAGAAGATTAACTTTCTAAGAACAAGTGTTCTTAAAGTTCATTGCCATTAAAGTTTTTTGGTCGAAAATCTACTTTGAAATTCTGTTTAACCAATCTCTAGTGAAAATGTACCTCTTTGAGGACAGCAACTGCCATTGAATACTTGAAAATAGACCTCTATTATTGAATACTTGAAAATAGACCTCTGTTCAAACAAAATAATATTGGACTAGTAAATTTTTGAACAATCAAGTGGCATTTTTAACTTTTTTTTTGCAATTTTGACCCCTTAAATACCAATTTTTGTTAAACAAAGGAGATTCTGTATGGATAAAATACAGGTCAAATTCACAAACTTAAGGCATCTGGTTTAGATTGATGATTAAAAATATGAATTCCCTTTGAAATAAATCCATTTGAATTAATATACTCAGTGTTTTTTATATGATCTTTGTGTTGATGTTTAATTTTATATAATCTCTATGAAGATGAATTTATAGTCTATAGAACTGTTTGTCTTTGGTTCCCTTAACACTCATTTATGTGCCAGCATTGTTGTCTAATTGTTTTTTTTTACCAAGAGTAACTATGCCACTCTTCTACCCAAAAATAAAAAGAATTAATTAAAAAAATACCATGAAATTAATTAAATGACATGGACAACTGTATTCAGTCTTAAAAAAGAAGGAACAATTTGCCTGTAGTGCTCCACTGAGAATGAAATGGGTGGAATATATTACCCATTAGGCTATGTATTGATGTGTCTGAGGGCAATGTTCACACTTATATGGATATTGAACCAGTCCAGAAATGATTCTTTCTAGTGCCACAAGCAGGTTAGAAATATATCTCTTTGCCACTCCCATACAGAATTACATAAAAGTATGTTTCTCCCTAATGTGAAACAATACCGCAATGTTTATTTCATTGTGTCATTACAGCAGTGTCTATTTGACTGTATCATTAGTGTTTCACATGGGACCCAAATCCACAACAGAATCAATACCAATGTCAAAGACAGAACAAATAGTTTCCAAAAACAGAAACAAGTGAAGATTATCAATTTTGCAGGCTCTTCCAAGGAAAATGTCTAACCTATTTTGGCAGATTTATTAAAATAAAATCCACATTAGATTAAAAAACCACTGTTTTCTGGATAACAAATACCTTTGTACATATTTTATATTACTTTTTTCTTGAACCCAGATTCCTAAGTCAAAAGTCTAGAGAGGGCAGAGCTAGATCAGTAAGTAGAGCAGAGCAGGTGCTTGGCTAGGATTGCCCCATATGAACCAGCATTTTGCATCCCATTAATTACAAGGATGAGCAACTAACCAAAACAGCATTCACTCCATGTCTTAATATTCCTTATGCCCAGGGTGCAAGCCTTACAAATAGAAATAGAAGAAACTCTTATTTGGTACCATTGACGAAATCTTTGAAGAATTAGGAAATAGATGCTAGTACTGATTTTTTGTTTTTATCTGTTAGTTATATTTCACTTTTTTCACATCTCATGTTGCTTCCACAACCTTGTTTATACTAACTTCTTTGAATTTCTTCTAATCTTTTTAAGTCCACGGGTATGATATCACATTTTCAATGAAGTTGTGAGTATTTTGGTTGTCCAGTAGATAGATCCTTGCCAACATTTTGTGAGACTAACTCTGATAATGCTGATGGAAACATAGCTCCTAACAGCTGCATGCCCTTCACAGTTCATGTTCTTCCAAATCAGCTTCATCTGGAAATGCTTGAGTACCTTTTGTGTGGTAATAAATAAATAAATAAATAAATAAATAAATAAATAAGTAAAAAGACATACCTTAAAAACACACCAAATAGAAGTTTTGGGACAACTATCGTTTAATTTATGTATAAACTAATTTTTGGCATTTATTTATATTCCTATTCAGTTTCAAGTATACAAATAATAATGTTTGATGTACAAATCATTTGATGGAAAGAACTTCATGATTTTTTAAATCTCATTTAACAAAATATTATATCATTTTGTCAACAGTGAAACTGGTTGCAGAGGAAAGAAAAACCTTCATTGCAAGCCAATATAGTCCTAACTGCCACAGAAAATAATTGAAATAAGATAACTAACCCAGATAACTTAATAAGACAAAGAATAATACATACAAAATTGGTTTAGGCATATCAGATTTTGTCGATTAACTGCACTGGAATTACTGTGTCTATGACAATCTAATTACATATATATTATGATCAAGTAATGATATCAATGGTATATGTTTTAATTAAGGCACAGTGCACCTGTGTCTGGAGCCCCCTATAACAGAGACTTGGATATGGCCTTTTTTATGAACTGAGAAGACAAGGGAAGATGGATTTAAGTTCTTGTCTCTGTATGCTTTGGGGCATATTCATCAAATATCAAACCATCATAGATAGCTTATTTAACAGTTGCCAGGGATTTGGGGTTGAGGTATACATGTACATCCAAGCTGTTAAGTAGGGGCAGTGGGAATATAAAGATATTCCCACTGCCCTGACATGTACCTTGTACCATTCCTGGCAAAGCAGTTGTAAAAAAAAAAAAAACATTTCAGAAATGTCGATCATTAAGTGTTTTATATCATATATGAATCAGTGACTCCTTTCCTATGTAGATTGACCAAACTCTGCAGTGACTTTCACCAGGGAATTATATCATGGACTACAATATAATTCCCTGCTTTCACTGAGTGCAATCAGCTTAACATCCCTCCTCCTGGCATTAAGTAGAATTAAAAAAAGCTGGTGATTATTAGAGTATGGGGCTTGTCAATTAGTAAGGCTCATTGCACTAAGCAAGAATCCCCACAGAGTTGGGTCGATCCATGAAGACAAATGGAGTCTATGGGAATGAGGTCATTCTGTACAGTTTGATATGTCATACTGTTTGAAAAGAATTGTTAATCTCAATTTTAGCTGCTCCACATTTTTCTTTCAAATATATTAATTATTTTACTTTTCTGGTTATAGACATTTGCAAGCTTCCTTTAAATTATGTCTTTAATGGTCGAGTGGCATCCTTTAGTTTATCGTTAATTTCATTATTGTTAATATAAAGCATGGAGTGAAGTATTGTGATTAAACTTAGTTTTCTACTGATTCTATTACATGTAATTATTTGTCATATTGTATATTAATTCTCAATGCAATGGCACAGTATGTGTAATTTTTATCATTCTGTAATCTTCACCCATAATTTATTTTTGGTTATCATCAGATTAAAGAGTTTCAAGGATTTCAAAAAAAGATTAAATATTGTGTTTTTTAACATTGTACTATTTTCATTTATTTTGAAACTGATTTTATGATTTTGTCTTTTATTTTAGCCTGAGGATGAAAATATAAAAGAAGTTAAAAGTATTGATAATCACTACCCGCCCCTTCTTTATCCTACCATAACTGACAATGCCATTCACAAAATTTACAAGTCGCCAGTACATGGTGGTGATAATGTGTATGAACACCAAAGTAAGCAGCAACTGTATATAAATCCTTTTGAACAGGATGAACATCTTGGAGGAAAAGAAGTCTATGGACATTTAGGATGCCTTACTTCTGCAGAACCATCAGATCAGATAGTGCAAAAACTAGATGATGGACTGACAGCAACTTGGCATCGAGCTAACACAGAGAATGCACCCCCATCTCCAAAGCTCAAGAGCAAAGGTGCTATAACTTCCAAGCCCAGGGCCCACTTTGAGGAACCAGACATTGCCAAACATTCTTCCATTGACTCTGTGCACTCTCCAGGCAAATCTAAATTCCGTCTTCGTAAGACGCCATTTGGAAGGTATTCCAGTAGCGGAGAAAGCCCTCCCTCTGGCCGGAAGCCATATCAGCTTATACCAAGCCCAAAGTCAGGTAAGAAAATATTACATAGGCAATCAATCTGTACCTGAGCAAAACTATGCATACATGTAACATATTGGCACAGCTTTGGGTTACGTTTCTCCTCCCTCCTTTCCACCTGTGCAAAACCAATTATAAACTATTGTTCATTGTTTTTACAAAAACTTTGATGTTATATATATAACATAACTGAAATTGAGGTAAACCTTGTTTTTGAAACTCTGCTTCACAACTGTTAAAATATACCAACAAGATTATTGGAATGACATTTGGGGGTCTTGGTTTTTGGATCAATAATGCTGCAGATGGATGTGTACAGTTCTTTAACAATAATGAACATTTGAAATCCTCTTGCTGTTTATTAGAAGACTACATTGTGGCAGTTAATGACAGCAAATATTGCTGTTAAAATAGCAGAGTAGCTCTATGTAGGGATAAGAGTAAAACATGCAGGATTTTAGTTATGGTTCTCTGTTTTCCAGAGGATGTGAACTGATTCTGAGAACAGGTTGCACAGTAAATGTAGCCCTTTTTTCAGAAGTACCTACTACTGCAAATTTAAATAGATGATAGCATATAAAGCTCACAATTAATATCAGACAGGCAGATAAATGAAACATTTAATTTATTTCCAGTTCTTTTTAAGAAGAAAAGACCTTGTGCAAAGTTGCATTGTATTATTACAATAATTTTTTAGGGCTAGTATGATATAATCTTTCTTTTAGAGCACAAATAAGTGTCAGCTTAAAATTTTTTTTAAATGCTCCAAAACCAAATTTTACAATGGCAAACAATACGCATAAATAGGCTTTAATTTTCTGCAACCCCCAGAAATTCCTTTATACATAACCAATTGCTATAATATTTGGGCACACCATTTTTAGTACTGTTTTCAATAATTTGCAGATTTACATTTGTATTTCATGGTCAATTACTGTTAAAGTAAATTTTATAATAATTCTCACATGGGTTTGGCATAAATAAAAGCGGACTTAACCAAATACCAATCATCCTATGTAATTGTGTTTGTTGAATTATTTCATTAATTCATTCTCTGTTCCACATGATGGAGGCAATATAAATATAAACATATCAAAGTTATATGGCTGGTAAATGTTTATCTATCTTCTTTATTCCTGATCTCTCCAGTTTTTTTCCAGTTTAACCTCATAATCCTTTCGGTTATTCTCTTTTACCAATCAAAAAGATGTCACAAGACCTTTGTAATCTTAACATTAACGATGATTGGATAGACACAAATTTTTCCTGCATGTGGTATATTGCCTCTTTCATGATGCACAAACAGTGACACTCACTCCTTGCACATGCTTACTAGTATAAGAGTAAATGAACATGTAAAGATCTTATTCTGGAGAAGAATGATAACACTTTCAAAAATACTATGCATATACATGTACTTATATATGTTGTCATTTTTAATATTCGCATATTGTTCTGTACTGAAAAAACCAACTGATGTTAAACCTTAGTAATAAACAAAGGCCCGAATTACAATTTTGCCATTTTTCCATCTTATACAACTGATTTCTTAATCAACTGCCAGCCTTGATATATCTTCACGATGTTGCACGATTGGCTTTCTAACCATATGCCGATAGTCTTATCAGAAATACCCCAGTGCTAGTACTTGCCAACAGAAATATGAGAATAGTTAATGAAGTATTCACCAATAGATCTATATACTCAGGCAATTACCAATATCCAGATGGTGTAATGACTATAATATGACCACTCTTTATGTAAATGTAGCACTATGAACATATCATGGTGGATAAAGCCTATCATAGCGGATGAATGAACAGAGAGACTGAAGTAACAAAGCGTCATAATGTTCACAGTTTCATATCACTCCATATGTAAACTGTCAAGCTTTGCTCCCTTATGACTCCAGGAAATTCACCTTGAGTCAGAAAATGAATGAAGTGCACTTAGCAATTGTGGTTTCATTGTTATGTACTGATTCAGTTGCCATGGTAACAAAATTCCTGTTGCAGTTAGAAAATCAATACTTTTTTGGTCTGTTGTGAATACTGTGCTGCCCTCTACAATTAAGAAGGTTCTGCAACCACAGAAAGCCAGTGTAATTTGAAAATGACTTTGCAGTTTATGGAGCAAATCTCAAGCAAACATTTTTTGAATTATTGGTGTCCCTTGGTGATGCATTTCATGATTATATTCAGAAACACACACACATACACACACACCAAACTTTGAAATGATGTTCACAAAAATTATAAATTGACTTATATTACAGGTCGTAAACGCACAAGTTCTGGGCCTGAATGCAACACTGGCAGTAACCTTGATACGCCAAAGAAGAAATCAATTCTAAAAAGAGATGCAATCAATAAAGAGGAGACAGAAAATCTATTGAAAGACCCACTTCCTGTGGATAGCAGTGGGCCGAGACATCACAGTGGAACAGATGATGATGAAGTGTTCTACACACCCAAGGAGACCCCTGCCAAACCTGCCACAGACTACAGAGCAAAGCAGACAACACGTGGCACCAGTGAGCAGGACTCCTCTGGTGAGAATGGTGGGATCATTGACACAGTATTAACTCATGACCTTGACCTAGAAAATGACCTTGATCTCCCTGACGGGCACTGTACTATAGAGTCCGGTGTAGACAATGAGTCCCAGGTTTCCGGAACATCATCTGTTGACTCAAACTATAAATCAAACCAAAAGGAGCAGACTGATGTCCAACATGAGGGTTACCATGGCAACAGTTTTAATGATGTAGATAGTAAGCCCTCAAATGATGCACATATCAAATATGCAGATTTAGAAGATTTGTGATGTTAAGAGTATTCAGGTATGCAATGTGCAAGTTCTTTTTTTATGTACAGACACAGTAGTGTACTGTATGTACATAATGCCATGGCCTGTAATTGTCTCAGTCCCTGGAGCCATGGCCATAGCCAGAGCAGAGCACATCTCTTGTCACCACAATAACTGGGAAGCAATGATGACATTTGCCCTAAACCTCCAGTGTTTGCTGATTGTCCTGACATGCAGGTCAAGGTTGAAAATATATTTATTCAAAATGATTTTGATAATTTTGGCCTTGTTGGCATGGTACATGTATCACACAGATGACTGCTGCACTTACAGTGTATGCTGATACCTAGCTAATAGGTTAATTTGAGGCTAAAGTGTGGACATTTTTTTCTTTTTATTATTATTATTTATATAATTATTTTAGATGATTTGGTCTTATTTTGTCTATTTTATATATTTTAATCCTTTTACAAAAAATATGGTATCTCTCAACCTTCAGACATCTTTGGTGTCACCTGCTGGGCATAATTACAGCTGGGGGTATTCAGTGTTATTAATTTTTTCTAAATATATTAACTGAGATGAATTGTCAATACAATTGTCATCTTATAAGGATATTCTTTAGCCAAACAGTTTTCACTGTTGAGGCAGTTACCCTGGTAATTACTTAGTCTGAAGATTGCAAAATTTGCAACTGAACATACACCTTTAATCTTGTAGGTGATTCCAGTGGAGGATGCAGATAACTTAAAGGGTCATGCAGGTAATCCCAGGTAAAAAGTGACTTCTACAGTGGACCTTGCTTGTCTCTTGTCCTTAAATTCTATTCCTACAGGTAACGTGACTGGGATAGAATTACCACTGATTGGAGAGGATTCTGTCACTTATTTCACTGAGACAAGCTGATGATTTTTACTTATAATGCAATTCTGGTGGAATGAACTTGCAAATGATTTATTGCATAAGAGGCAAAGAGTGAAACTATTGACTGGCCATTCCAGTTAACTTTTGGTGTCACCTTACAAACTGTTACTAAGATGGAAAAATAAAAAATAAGCGTAATAACCTGTATATTGAAACACAGTCAATTCCAGCGAAACAAACATGTGCAATTACTATGCCGGATATACATTCACTCTTCATAATCAGCAACAAGGGCTTCCTGGACAACCATAACCAGTTTATAGTACAAGATTACCTTTTAATATATATTGTGAATTCTAAAGACATAAGTAGTGAGTTGGGGTTTTAGTTACCACTTGCAAGATATTTGCAGATAAGCATATAAAAATAGTAAGTAAAGACTTTGGGATGAATGTAGTATCACATTTTTACCTTCATTTTCTAAAGTATATATGGCATAAAGTAATACTAGTTGCATATCCATATTGATTAAACTCAATTAAGGTAAATAAAAACAGTAAAACGAATACAGAAAAAAAATCATTTGTACTTGTGAATATGTGTATATCACATCATCACTGGAGTGAAATGAATCTTAAGCACAAAATACCAGTTTTTGTAATTCTTATGGTGTGACCTTTGTTTGATAGAGAAATCAAGTGTGGTACAATATCTTATCAGTTAATTTTTTATATTTAATTAATACACAGAGTAAAAAATTTGCTAGAAGTACTTCACCCAAATACACTGCAGAAATACTCAAACAGGATCTTAAGCTACTACTTCAAGGTGCTTCTAAAGTCGAAAATGTACTAGTTCTTAAACCTTAGCCTAGGAAGCAAATTTGCAATAGGCGGTTGTTTGTATAAATAAGTGTGCCAAACTGTTTTGAAATTTGATGTATCCTTCAAATTTACCATCTATGACACCCATATAGCTTTTAAGTCTATATAGCAACCACATATAAACTATATTTATGAAGTGGTCCGATTCAAACAATTATTTATACTTGATCAGATGGTTCTACAAGATCCAAGAGTCGAAATGTATTAAATCATAACACCCACTTAATTTGTTGCATATCATTTTTTTTTTAGATTTCCAGGAGCTACAGTAAACTGAGTAGTTGTTGGGCCCAGTTTAGTTTTCAACAACTACTTAAAATGATTTTTTAGAGGATCTGATCAACTTAACATATTATATAGTGGTCAAAATCTACTGCATGCATAATACACATTTGCATACATCACACATCAGTGACCTGTGGGGGCTTTCAAATAACAAGAACATTGATACTTATTCAGTTCAATAATGATACTATAACTGTGTATTTGTATGTACTGTACAAGCAATATTTTCAGTGGGCAGGATCTGCTGGGAATATGGACAGAACAGTTTATACATGTTGAGCTAGATCTGACCATCTGATCATTAATTTTTTCATGTATTTATGAAAAAAATGAATGCTTATTTTTATTTGTTTTACTTGCAGATTTTTATGTTGTTTTGATAAATATTTCTAAACACTAAAGTTGTACAGAAGGCCTGTTGTTGTCCTAATGACTGACTTTTTCCTTTGCTTACTTAGCCTAACTTTTTATTTTAAGGACCATAACCACTGTGACCTTTTAATATAACCACAATTAAGATATACATATTAGAATACTGTTCCTAAGGTTAGTGAGCATTGAGCTCTGGGTAGTGAGTACGTGTGCGCATGTGTGTGCATGTTTGTGTGTGCACCAGTGCATACATGGTAGAGTTCAGTGAATAGAAGTTTAGTAAGTTACCCTGTCTGGTACTATGTACATACTATTATACTCAAATATAGAATGGTGTTCAAACAAAGATTCTAGTAAAGTATATCAACTATAACAATGTAAACTATGTCTGACACCCACAGTAAGTTGACATCTCTTATCATTTACTTTTGTAAACTTAATTTTACTTTTCAAATGTCTCTACACTAGCTAGGTTACTGTTGAAGACTTCCATAATTTACATATGTAACATATCAGTCAGTTGTGCACAATGGGTTGTTTGATTGCAATGGTAGCTGTGCATTTTTATTATATCTTATAATACTTTTTTAATTGAGCAATTTACTTCACATAGCTTCATTTTCCAATTTTCATCTCACATTTTTAACTATGAGGTAAACTATGAAATAAAATGAAATATTCACACTTACTTTAAGATATTTTTTTGTCTTTTAAACAAACAGTGCAGCTGTGACAAATGTCTCAGGTAAACTGGCTTTTATAGAAAGTATATACATATTTTTCCCCTGAAAGTACACTTGTTTTGAATAAAGTGACAAGAATGCTAACATTTTACAAAAATCGTCAAATGAAATTTGAGATTTGTTTTGATGAATCAAATTCACTTGTGGCATATTCTTTATTCTTGTTAATAAATACCCAAAACTGCTCCCACAAATTAAAATGTTGACTCCCCAGGGCCCCGTAACTTGAGAGCATCGCGATTCCATAACTCAGTATTTACTCACCCCATATAAATGAAATGAAAGGTGATTTGCAATTCGCGATGCTTTTGAGTTACGGAGCCCAGGCTGTAAATTGCTGGAACAGTTGGGATTTCATCAAACTTTAAATCTATTCTGATAACTTTTTATAATTCTATTTACTTCAGAATTCTTGAAAACCTAATGAATATGCTACCATTGCTACCATAGCTACCATAGCACGGAGAAGATGCAAATTTGAATAGTTGACAAATTCAGTGATTTCAAAATAAACATGAAATGAAAGGGCAAATTGTCTGACTTGGTCTTAAAAACCAGCAAAGCATGGTTATGTAAATGAAGCAAATATCTGTTCCATGGCAATGTACACAGGGACAATACACATGTAACTAGGTTTCATCAAAACTTTTATTCACAATGTTGTTCAACTTGCAAGAAAAAACAGCTTCAGCAACGAAACATCAATTATAATGCACATAAATGTTATCACAACTAATAGCTTATATTCATTATGAAACCAAAACTCTGCAGTGCATATTCATGCAGTTTATCTGGCTTTCAAAAGGTATTAATATACCCAAAATGAAGATTTTTGCACGTGAAAAGCAAAGCAATTGATATATGTTGCATATTCATATCAGTGACAGCTGTGACATATAATACTTGAAGTATATAACCAGCTTCAGTTCTATGGGGAAAAAAGTTAGAGATAATGACTAAACAATGCAACATTAAACAAACAAACAAAACAATCCACAAATTGACTTTACTATTAACCATTATTCTTTCTGTAAAAAAGATGGAAGCTACCTCTACCTGATCCAGCCAAGTATAGCAGCAGTTATTACACTTATCAAAGTAAATCAAAGGTCATCTCCAACATAAGTTCTGAAAACCTTTAAAATGTTAAAGCAACATTCCTACTTTTAACAACATTTTATTCTTCATATCTATGAATGAAGAATTTTTTCTATGAAGTGAAATTGTTCTGTTTTAATGCCACAAGGAGACATTCCCCTAAAATTGCACATAATCTGCCTGGGCATGTCAAACACAACAAAGATATGGACTCTTCTCAACAAATAGCTATAGTTATTGTCTGTTGAAGGTACTATGCAGATATTCATAATCATACAAATAAAATATAGCCTAAAAATGATAAATTAGTCCTTATCAAATTCTCATTATCAAATATAAATGCCGCGCTGAAGCACCCTATGTCATATATATAAACTCAACTGTCCTAGTACCTATCCTGCATTCAACAAATATTTGATATGTGCCATATTCATAAATTTCCTTTCCTTTCCTGAATATTAATTCTAGATACAGAAATGTTCTTATGCTTTAGATTAAAACAAAAGCAGTACAGCCACAACACTAGTTCCTTGTAAAAGTATGTTCTGGTTGCTTTTTTACTGACTGCCTCATGTTACTTCTGCACCTTTAATTAACTTCATCCAACTTACAATATAACGTTTGACCACATGCAGTTTTTGATTAAAAAAAACATCAGTTTATAATGTTTTTACTCCCTGATGTCCTTGTATAGCAGTTGTAAGTCACAAGTGGTTCCTCCATTCCATCATCTCTCCTGACACCCTCCTGCTCAGCCCATCAGCTTTCACTTCTATTCACAGTCATCTTTTTTATCATTGCTTACAATTAAGAGTTGCTCCATCATACTGTGTCATCTGAAACAAAACAAAACCCACATATTGACACAAGCGTACATTAAGAAGATAGGACATTTGAATTCTTTTATACATTATGACTTATATTATACTAAAGACCTTTTCGGGAGCAACTCCTTCATGATGCCAGACATTCACAATCAGTGAAGCATTTCTCCTGGTACCTGTCACAACCACCACAATTACTTCCAGGAGTAATGTCTCAACTAGCACATTTTACATTGGCATGCTTATGACCATTTCATTGTTCAAATATTGATCTCTTTCTCAACAGCAGCTTACCGTGGTACCACCATTTGGTGTTTTTGGGGTTTTTGCTGCATGTTTTCACATAAATGCTGTTATCTGGTGGCCTTTTCTGTAAAAAAAATCTTAAAGTGTATTATTGTTGTGTGAAGGATGCATTTAAATGTGCACCCGACAGATAACATTTCACACAAAAAATAAATATCATCAAATAATTACTATCTTATTGATTAAATAATAAAAGTTACCATTTTACTCTAAATATTCAAAATGCAAAATTCATCAAAATTTGACTTTTCTATTAATAACCATTCTGGCAATTATCTCTTTGATAATAGATGTTATACTAAAACATGAGAATCTGTCCAGAGTCTTACCTTTTCTTTGCAACTACTCAGCATGCTGACTATACTAAGGCACACGGATTGCACAGAGAGAGCAGGGGACCAGTCATCAGTGAGTATAGACAGACATATATGACCATTGCTGTAGACATGTGGGTGAACAGGAATGTTGGAACCAGTAAATATAACCTGAAACAGTGATATAACTTTGTTGTTGTGGATTTCTATATGTAACAAATTAAACTAAAATTATCTCATTCAACAAATGTGCCTTATGGATTTCAAAAAGTGGTAAATACACCAGCTCTTCCCTTTACCTGTGGGGATTCAAATGGATATCTAGGACCAAATTTGAAAGCAAGTTGAAACTTTTCCCCTTGATACAGAGTTCCAGGAGCTCCTTCTAAATCAACCGTCCACCTGAAAGTAAACCATACCAGGTAGATACAGAAATCAAGAACATATTATCTTGTATCAGGTTTGTTCACTGACTAGCTGACTTAAAAACATACTTTTTTGCTTGGATGGTGTGAACTATTTGGTTAAGTTTCAGAATATTATTTAATATACATCTAGTACATTTACATACAAATTCTGTATGTCATAAATTTCCAAAGGGGTAAAAATGGCATATATATATATATATATATATATATATATATATATATATATATATATTATAATTACCAAAGACAATTTCTTGGCCAACCATGTATGTCCATGGAAATTGTTAATTATAAATAAACATGTATGAGATCAGGTGCTTTTGTCATGAATGTATTGTCACAGTAGACAGTATAGTATAGTTTGTATAGTAGTCAGCTCTTATTCAATACATTTGATATGAAACATATATAATCTACAGATTAACAAGGCAACAAATGAACTAAGTTAGAAAAGACGACTTACTCTGAGAGACTACGGCTAGTTTTGTCAGAATCTACTGTTACACCAAGAGGTGGATCCCTCAGTAGTGCCTGCAGTTCCTTCTGCAGCCGTTTCTGAAACATCAAGTTCAGTATTAACTTACAGACACAACACTGTCTTCTAAGTTATGAAAAGAGAAACAGGAACAACAAACAACAAATGCCATTAATGAAAACAGCTGTCAGGGGGTACAAGTGTTAAAACCTGCCACTGAGCACATTTTCTTTAGCCCACATGACAGGCTTTTAAAGAGCACAATGTAAATGTGTTTAATGCGTGTGTCAACGTTGACTATAAACATGTCCACGTAGTGAAAAGCCTGAATTATTTACTAAGCACAGGTGGAACCAGTATCCTACCTCCATAGATGCCATTTCGTCCCAGTCCTCACTATGTGATAAAGTTTCTAATAGTTGCTGATGAACCCACCTAAGAAAAACATTTTTAAAATTCTTATTTGAATAATAATATAAAAATATAAAATATTTTCTATATAAATTTGATTAATTTCATTTTAATAATATTTTATTTCTTTGCAAAAACACCCACTGTGTTTGTACGAAACTATTGTTGAAACAAATATGCCACATTTAGCAGACAGTATGAGTTCGGGTAGGATCCTTCGTCTCAATCCTCTCGGCATTTTAGTAGTTGCTGCCATATCGGGATGTATATTACTCTATTTTGTCCATGGGTGGTTTACACCAAAAATGAGCATGAAAGAAGTGCTTGCTGCAAGTATCACTTTAGCCAAACGCGGGGGCCAACGTGTCAAAGAAATACGTGAGACGAACCGATTAAAGGAACAAGAGAAGGGCAAGACGAAGGAAGGTGCCGCAGAAATGCTGACGGAGGGTGATATGCAGTCACATATCCAGATTATGTATGGCCTCGCCAAAACGTTCCCAGGACTGAAAGTAAGCTTACGTCTCGCAGTGACATAGATTGAGCTCAAGTGGCAAAGAAAGCCAGCTACAATGTAGATCTTATCAATGATTAAGTCTAGATAGTAGTACTAGCATAATAAATGCTTTGTTTCATTGACTGGCCTAGGTGTAATTTAATCCAGATTTCAAGAATCGATTGAGGAATGTAGGGGAAACACCCACATTAGTTTGTATTACAGGTGTTGAGATAGAACGTGTAAATATAACCCCAACAAATCATGGTGCAGGAAATAACAAAATTTTATGAAAGGGACACAGAAATTATATTCTCAGGCATAGCTCTTAACATTTCTATTCCTATAAATTCAAGTTGACATATAAGAGTGAAATCACTGGTTGACAAAAAAAAAATTAATGAAAATAATAATAATGAACTGCACATCCTGTCATCTACTGCACATACTAAGTCTGGCCAGTTTGAATGGAAGTGATGCACATACTTCATGCGTGAAAGTTTAAAATGTATATTTTTTAAAGGTCATATCAGAAGAACATGAAAAGCAAACAGCAGACACTAGCAAGATTACAAGGGCGGAAATTGATGATCCAGAAGTTGCATTATTGTCAGATCAGTATGTAAATCTGAAAGATGTGGCTGTGTGGATTGATCCTCTTGACGCTACTCAAGAATATACAGGTTTGTAAAACAACATTCTGTATTCAGGAAGTATCTTTTCTGAAACCCTGATTTATAAAAAGTTGCAAATTTGATCTAAATTGAATAACGTCATTGTACATAACTTCCTTCCTGTAGCACAAATACATATTATTTCTAAGAATATTATATGTACATATTCATTAATTAATTGACCTGTTCTGCATAGATGGAAATATAAATGTATACATAAACAAAAGGTATATATTGGTTAGTAACCTATTTCATTTATTTTTAACCCTCCCCCCCCCAACACACACACACACACACACACACACACACACACACACACACACACACGGTGATCCTTGTACTTATAATCACAAAATCATGTATGTATTGTTCTATTACTTTTCAGAGGATCTCACTCAGTATGTGACAGTGATGGTGTGTGTGGTAGTGGGAGGACAGCCAGTTATGGGAGTCATACACAAACCATTTTTACAAGAAACAGGTAACACAATAATGCAGATCTTAAGTAGGCATTGTACATTTGGAAACATATGATAGGTATCTCTTTTATCAAATTATGTAACTTGTATGTCAGTAATCAATTCGATTTTACATGTTTGTTGTTGCTTTTTCATCATTAGAATTGAAATACTGTTTTTTTGTGTCATTGTGATTTTCATATATTAGTGGAAAATGCTAGATCGTTTTTTTTTTTTTTCTCATGTAAATAATGTCTTAAAATACTTTATTGGCCCTATCATTGTATGGTGATTTTCATATGAAATTGGTAAAAGGCAAGCTGATTTTTTAATGAAAAATTAATGTTAATGTCTCATTTTAATGATAAAAGAGAAAAACAATGGTTACCTGCAGCTTTTGAATTTCTGATATGCTGATATCTGAAAATGGTCATATATCATGTTCAGCAAAGTGAAAAGTGGATTTTTAAAACAGTGTGCCATCAGTAGATTTATAACCAAACAGAAAATCATTTCAGTAGTGTGAAGACCCCAGTAAATGTAAAATAAAATTTTAGGTTTGATTAGAATTCATTAATAACGACAGTATTTTTAAATTAGTCAGTCAGTCTGCAAGTAAGTGTTGATGATGCAGTATGTGACATTAACCCCTATCCCCTTGCTAAATGGATGTAAAATTGAAGGTAGACCAGTAAAATTTAATCAGTTTCTCAACACTATGGTTGTAGGTCCATGGTGATGTAGGTGCTTAGGTATGCCTAGATGTGGGTATGCCTATCTTTCGGCACAGACTGACAATTAATGTATTGTTATTTTGAGCATAAATGTTTCTTTTGCAGTGGGTTTGTTTTTGTCATTACTTCTCTGGGATTTTTTATAATGCATAAACCATGGAATGAGCAGGCTCCAGTTATTTATTTATTTTTTATTATTTTTTAGTGAAGACTCCATGAATTGTACGATATTTCCCTTTAACTTTTTACACAAAATGTCATTTCTTCTGTAGATCAGCCATTAACAGCATGCATATATTTTCAGTGTGGGCTTGGGTAGGACACGGTCACTCAAAGAACATCAGAGTGGAGGATGACAAGGAAAAAGAGACCACGTCTATCATAGTGTCCAGGTCCCATGCTGGAGATGTAGAAGCTGCAGCCAAAGAAACTATAGGACAGAACATCAAAGTTATCCCAGCAGGAGGTGCAGGTGAGTTCACAGGCATAGCTGACTATAATTAGTGCTACTGAAATAGCCTGAGTCTACAATTTTAGTCCAAATTTGGGCTTACTTGGCCTGTTTCATTATAAAATTGGACTTAACATGAGCTAACTCATAAGTTCAGTCCAAGTATGGTTTTACTCTTAAGGGCGAGTCCAGTTTTTGAGTGGCTACCAATATTACATATACACTGTATTAAGGTCAAACCTAGTTCGACTTTCTATGTAGTCGGGTGAAGGTAGCAATCACTGAGAAACCCATTGTTTGAGTAGAAAAGGGGGATCTCCTACTTGCATAGTCGTTATAGAAATAATCTTACATAGTTCTAAGTTCTTCGACTTAGCTTGAAATCATTTTAGATTTCACAGGATTTGGACAAGATTACACTACAGGGATGCAAAAAATAAATAAACAAATAAAATGCTCAGTTCTAGTCTGCCATTATTTCTGACCCCATTATCCTTGAAAGCCCAGGAAATCTCATTTGGTTTTATGCAAAGTCACTAGACTGAGCTATATCAGATGACACCCATTTCATACATGCACCAAAACTTATGAACCATATTTTGCCTCACCTACGTAACATGTATAGTTATTGATAGATATTATGTATAATTAGATATTAGGTTTACATAAATGCCAAATCATAGCACTATTTCCCTCATACCAGTAGACAAGAGAAACACCTGTTGTGAACAAGCAAACAAAGTCACCAGATGATGCATACATTTAAACAGCTGTTTCACAACATCACAGTTTATATAACAGGTGGACATGTGGTTTTATATTATGGTGACTTTATATTGAATTGAAAAGCTGAACAATGAAAGTAACACTATAGAGAGCTTTGAAAAGTTGTTATTTTTGGCATTCTGCATTTTATTTCCTCCCCCCCCCCCCAAAAAAAAAAAAAAAAAAAGTTGATTCTGGTCACTCTTTATTGAACTGAAAATGCAGAACAAAGAAGAGTAAAAATCAGAGCTTTAAATATTTCAACTTTAAATCTTTGGCATCCTCCCCCCCCCCAAAAAAAAAAAAAAAAAAAAAAAATTCATCTGAACTTTATGAATGTGCCTTCATAACTTTTGTTAATCTTTGTCCTCAGTGAAAATAATTTGCCACTTAGGTGTGCATAAATTGAATTTAGAACATGCATTTCTTCATTTATTTGTGCCTTTATTGATTTTCTTTTAGGTTATAAAACAGTTGAGGTGATCAAAGGCAATGCTGATGCTTATGTCCACAAGACTTTAATCAAGAAGTGGGATATTTGTGCTGGTAATGCTATAATCAAAGAGTTGGGAGGAAGAATGACAGATCTGTTTGGTCATGACATAGACTATTCCCCTGAGAAGAATGTAAAGAATGAGGGAGGACTGTTAGCAACTACCAGGGACCACGACGGATACTTGAAAAAACTGGAATCTATGGCAAAAAGCTTAAAACAGTGAAGTTTATGTGCTTCAGACTTTTTTTTTGTTTTGATAAAGCATTTTTATCATTTAGACATATATTCCTGTGTTCTGGTAATTTATTTTCATTTTTGTTTCACATAATGTTTTACTCCTGTGACCCAGTTTTAAAGGGGCACCTCATTGCAACGCACTTATTTCTAGGCATTCCAGTTTGTATTTTGAAGGCATGGGGTACACTGCAGCTTTATAATTAAGAGGTGGGCTTGTTCTTTTATAGTGCAGAAATTAAAGTCGTCTGCCTGGTGTTTGAAGTTGTAGGAATAATTGAATTTACTCAGTTATATACTCAATTATTTTACAACACTGATTGTCAGCACATTTTAAGATATGACCAGATTTCTAAGTTCTTTATTTAATAAGCAATATATTACTACCATATTAAAGTAGTAATGAGCTCTAGTCATATAGTTAAAGTAACTTTTTGTATGTTGGTATGTTTTAATCTCTTAAGGGTGCTGTATAGTCTGTCTTCCAGTCATTTGTCCTGGCCCAATTTCATTAAAATAACTTACATCAGTTCCCTGGCCGAGTTAACTAGGATGTCCATGTGAGTACTAATAGTAAACACTGTTACCCTTAGGGTAAGATGTGACCATGTAACAAAGTTGATAACAAAGATGTTAGCCACTGGAACTTTTTTAATGAAACTGGAGCCTGTATTTCATGCAGCAGATCTTGGTAAACTACTGTGATATATAGTGTACATACTCATATTTTGAGTGGCGCATTTATCACCAAGATGACTTTTATACAGAGTGATCATGAATTAATCATGGACAAACTGACCTAATATGCAACTTTAAAAAAGAATGCTAATCTTGAAATGTGAACTTGCAGTATATATTATTTATTGTTGAATGATGGCACATAGCATTTCCATTAGAAGACAAGTGCTACATAGATGCAATCTCAAATATTTTTGTGGATACTGAAACAGGAAATTTCCTTTTCCTGAATTTGAAAAGTCAGTATTGCAACAAAGGAATGTAATGAGATGTCAGGTAATATGAATGTGGGCAGATATTAAATTATTGAGATATTTCAGTCGAGTTGCAATATAATGGTATCAAAATGCAGTGTAAAGTGGTTGAGTTCCCAGATCTGTTGTACCATACTTTGTTACTCTACATATAAGGGCAAAAGGGGTATTTTTTTCATCTATTTTTGGTTTAAAAATAACATTCTTACATGCTGGGGATTGTTTAATAGGGTAAAACTCTTTAAATGGCTTTATATATTATTGTAAATGTAAGGAAGGATTTTTGTGGTATTGTTACTTAATGATTGGCTGTCTTCGTGTTTGAGACGTTGGTCCAAGTGGATTTTGGGGGATTCAGTGGTAATATATGTATATACATATGAATAAAGAATGATTTTTTCTCAACATAATTTATTTCATGAACCTAATATTAGTTTAACGAATGTAACAAAGTAAAATATACAGATGACCAAATCCATATGTTTTGATGGTTTGTCAAAATACATTATCAAAACCATCTTAAGTAAACATTAATGCACGGGATCTTAAAACAGCAAATGCGTAATTTCCATCAGATTACATTGCAAATTACATATGAATGTTAATGAAAGAGATTAATTTTAAAAAAGGTCAAAGGTAAGGTTATAAGTTGACTTCTGAGAGCATCTCTTTTACTTGGTTATGAATAGCATCTTTATACCTATAAGGATCAATGTTTTAATTGTGAAAAAGACTAATTTACAGAAATGACATAAAAAAAAAACTGAATTTCATTTGGAGTATCATAACAGAACCAACTAATATGTTAATTGAAGTACATCTGCCTCCATGACTGAAGTGTGGCTACAATTCATTGGAGAAATAGGTCAGACTATGTTGCACAATATTCCTCGTGCTGCTGCTGTTTCCCTGAGTGACCAATTATTTTAGGCTGAAACCATTATGTGTTGGTCATTTCTTCAATTAATTATGAACAGCCTTAGTTAATGTGCTCCATCCTAAGGATCATGACAACATCTTCCCTTAAAGTACACCATAAGAGTACACAAGTGAGAAATCCCTGTAAATGTACAGAAAACAACCCTTGCTATTAAGGAAAAATTTACATAAGGACAATATATCAATTTTAGTATTTTGTGATTAGGCACAATCACTTCTGCCTATAATCTTTCATATAAGCACAAAATAAAAAAATATACATCTTGATTGTAAATCTATAAAACATAACTGTATGGCATTTCTCTGCCTGAAACAAACAAAAACACATTTTCTTCCCAACTTGCAAATGAGCAGATGGCATTTCCATATCTGGCACTCCTTTTCTTCACACTCATAAGTAATGATAATATTTCATAACCTTCATAACATTCCCTTTCAAATTCAGAATCATACCATAAACAAGTAACATGCCCCAGTTTCACAAGGTAAAGTTCAATCCCCCCCCCCCCCCCCAATGTTCTTGTTTCAAATGACTGCCCTTTTTGTTTTGTCCCAGCAAACTCCTCTCTACTTTATAGTGCTTGTTGTCATCATATCAGACTTGGACTGCCTATGTTCACACTGGACAATCTACTTGATCTGCGAGGAGGGGATGGAAACACATCTCCAGTTAGAAGATCCAAAGGCTGTAAAAGAGAAAATAATCATTGATAGTGGGAGGAGAAATTTGCATTGCCAATCTGAAAAGTCACTTGTTACACATTTTATATTGGAATGCATTTCACTTGATGTATGTAATGCTGTTATAAATATCAGCTTACTTCAGCTGGTCTAGGACTTAATCCCAGTCGAAGACTGGCAATTCTAGTAGCTGGAGTTGCACTTTCAGGGGTGCCTGACTTGGCTTCTGCTCCATTTGGAGGGGTAAATACAATCAATTGTGCTGTCTCTACTGTGGGAAGAGGGGCACTAGAAAGCCTTTTTCCACTACCAACACGTGGTGCTGCCACTGGAAGAATAGCAAATATAATAAATATAATCATAATAATAATAAATTTTTTAAATACATATATATTTATATGTTACAACAGAGCTTAGGTTTGACTTATTTAAAATGCTTGTTTCTCTGCAAATGCACTTATTAAATTAATGTTACCAGATGTTCAATTTAAACTCCATGCCTTGGCTTCTAAAATATCTTCTACATAATGATCACCATTCTTGCATAAATTGTGGTAATATATAAATGGAAATGTATCAAAATTATTATTAGGTTAACTAATTGCTACATCCAAACAGGACGATGTATTCATGAAATCAGGACAGAATTCACAAAAATAAGCAAATAAATGACAATGCAAAAATGGCCTACCGAGAGAATTTCTGTTGTATGGAGTCTCAGGCAGGTGTCCACTCTGAGCTTCGTGAAGTCTGACAGGAGAGTCAAGAAAATGAACGCTGTGCCTCAAACTAGATCTGCGCTTTGAGCGAGGAGTCCTGGCCAGGGCGGACTTCCTTCTCTTTCTGGCTGAATTTGAGTGCTGATCAAACTGAGACTTGAGGTCCCTCTTCATGGTGGCAGCCATCTCCTCATCTGCCTCACCGGGCTCTTCCTCCATGCTTTCATCTGGAGAGTAAAGCAAATGGCTTAACCCAATGCAAGAAATGAGACCTGTTCACTTGTCTCTTTCACCGTCTTTTCCATGTTGGAATTGTAATGAAATATAATTTTTTTGCTGGTAGTTCTAATAAAATGTTAAGCATGCTGGAGAGTATATAGAATGGTGCAAGCCATGCATCTTATAATATGCAACTATTGACACTAAGGGAAATTTCCCAAAACCAGAGTTTTGGTAGTGTTGTGTTAAGTAAGTTTCAGAGTATATAAGTGATATTGAAAAATATGAACAGACATATTATGATAAACAAAATTGCCCATAGAGTTTCCTAACTAGAAATAATCAAATAGGCTAGGAAAAGATAAGTTTTAAGCATTATACAGCTAAGTGTTTAAGTTTACATGCCCTCAAGTTAAGGAATAAACCATCATGCAGATAGGCACCTTTTAATTCTCTATATATTAAAGGCCATTTTTCAAAGCTGCATTTTTGCTTTTCAACAACAAGAATAATTTATGTCAGTTTACACATAATCTCAAAAAATCTCTTAAAAACAAAAATGTATAAAAAGAAAGCAATAAACTACAAGTGTTGGCCTTCATATCAATTGTTTTTCTCAAAAAAGAGAAAAAAAATGTGTAGTAGCAAAAGGCATGATGATCCATCCCAGCACAAGTAAGTAAGCAAGCATTAGTCTACCATGTCCCTGTGGATTATCTGCAGCCAGTGTTGGCATCAGGAATTTGGCGAAGTCAGCATCATTAATACCTTGGTCTTGCACTTTTTGCTCGGGCTCTTTATCAATGGCAAACCTGGATTCCTTTACAGATTTCCTACGATTAAGTAATAGATAAAATTTAAAAAACGATCCTGGATATAACATTTCTCAAAAAAGTAAATATAACAACAGATATTTAAGTGCTACATATCAAATTCAACAATTTTATCTCAGATGTGCTCACTTTATGTAAACAAGAGTACAAATTCTCTGCACTGAAATTCATCAGCAAAAAAAAAAAAAAAAAAAAAAAAAATTCTTGCACACCTCCCTGATGTGGACTGTCCATCTCCATCTAATGGCTCAGATGCCCTTCTCTTCCTTGTTGCTCTCTTGTCCAGACTGTCTGGGGTGAATACTCCCAGGGAGGCACTTCTTCTGGAACGGCTTAAACTTCCTGGAGTGGTAACCAATTTCTGCAAAGGTGTCCCAACTGACCTCCGAGACTGTCGTCTGGTTTTCTGAGTTCCTGGGGTGGACCTGGACCCAATGGAGGTGCGTGACCTACGACTGCTGCGTGTCCTTAACCCTGGGGTGGTGTCCATTAGTAGAGGGCTGGGGACAACTGGGACATTGGCAATAGAGCGTGAAAGAAGTTGAGGGGATGCAGCTGAAATCTGTCTGTCAGCCTGCTGTGTTGTAGAAGAATCACTTGGCTGGTTATTTTCTCGCAGAGAAGTAGTATCTTTCAGTAGTGGACTTGGCACCTTGGGTCTCCTACTGGCAGACAGTGCTGACATCAGGAGTGGACTGGAATTTCCTGGTATATTTCTTGGTGATTTGCCTGCAAGTTTAAAAAGAAATAACAGTTATCATTACATTTCTATTAAAATAGCACATTTTGAAAAGACTTATGGAAAGTGGCAGCAGATTGGGGACATTTGCAAATGACATTTAGTAAATCTCAAATCCTCATACCTTCACCTTGTAGCATAGGACTCTTAACAGGACTGTTGACTTTGAAGAACCCTGCATCAAAAGTCTTCATTTCCTGGGGCTCCACAACTACAGGCACCTGCTGTTCTTGTTGCTGTTTCTGCTGTGCCTTCATTTGTGCACGGAACTCAGCAAATTTGGACTTCACCACTGGTTTAGTAGATTTCTTGGTAGCTTTTTTCTGTAAATTCAGAAACCATAATGCTCATAAAGACCAAATGAAGACAGATGGCACAGAGCACAGGAAAATCTTCCAATGCATACAATGAAGTGAAAAAGCTAACACATCATTTGAGTGATGTTAATATATACAACTAAGTTTTTCATACAGTTAACATCACAGTAAATGAAATAAACAGTTCTTCCTACAATAGTTTAATTCACTCTTGCATGAATTATATGTATTGCAAATATTCCTGCACTTCTTGTATGTTCAATTTCAAGAGCAAAGATGCTGGCACTCCATGACGTCTTGGCTCACCTGTACTTTTCTATTCTTCACTTCTAATGGCTTGTCCTCCGCCCAATTCTTGGCCTGAAGTTTTTCCAGAGTCTCAAACTTAGCATCCACATCTTCCACCTTATGAATAAAACCAATGGGTAGGTCATTTTTCAAAATTAAATTCTGCATACAAGTTATGAAGATAAATAAAATTTAAACATGGTATGGCAATACTAATAAAAACAATTACTAAACAAAATGTACCACATAACAAAAGCTTACTGTCATGATTTTCACCAGATCTTACTTGATAATAGACCATATCCCAAAAACCCTGTAAATCAGTGCAGGTGGTCTCTTTTTCTCCAGTCTTGTATTCACAGTTGTCCACCAGGCCATTAAACTGCTTAAATCGCTGGTCCATCAAAAGCTGCGCTTGACCGATGGTAGTACGGATCTGACCACAAGCTGAAACAAAAAACAACTTAAAGGTAAGTATTGATATTGAAATCATCAAGCCAACTATGCACATCTCTTACAGCAAGAAAGATAGAAACAAGCACTATTTTGTGGCAAATGAGAGGCAAGTAATTCAAATATGTATATATATTTTCTAAATAAAATAAATTTAAAAGACTAACATAACTGTGATTCAACAAACTCTCCTTTTACAGTCTTCCTCACTTACCATCTTCAGGTATATCAGGAGTGGAACTGTTCACCTCCTCCCAGTGTCTGCACAATGAGGTCAGTCTGCTGGTCTCAGATGTCAATAAGTTCCTGAAGTACGGCACATCGTGCTCTCCACTGGAGACACTAGACACATCTGTCTCAATGACCTCTTTCTTGTCCTCAATATCTGGGTCAAACACGGGCTTTGAAACGCTTCTTCTGGAACGCCTCAAACTGCTTGGCGTACTAACATCCTCAGTGAGAATTTTCTGCAAAGGTGTCCCAACTGACCTACGAGACTGTCGTCTAGTTTTCTGAGTTCCTGGAGTGGACCTGGACCCAATTGACGTGCGTGACCTACGACTGCTGCGTGTCCTCAACCCTGGGGTGATGTCCAGAAGTAGAGGGCTGGGGACAACTGGGGCATTGGCAATAGAGCGTGAAAGAAGTTGAGGGGATGCAGCTGAAATCTCTCTGTCAGCCTGCTGTGTTGTGGAAGAATCACCTGGCTGGTTATTTTCTAGCAGAGAGGTTGTATCCTTTAGTAGTGGACTTGGCACCTTGGGTCTCCTACTGGCAGACAGTGCTGACATCAAGAGTGGACTGGAATTTCCTGGCATATTTCTTGGTGATTTGCCTTAGATATAAAAAATTAGAGTTACCATTACATTTACTCCAAATTTACACCAGCTCTATTTTGTCTTATTTTTCTTTTAGTTTTAAGACACATTAATAAGGAAAGTGATAGAAGATTAGGGAGTAAATCTCAATTCCTCCTACCTTCTCCTTGCTGCATAGGACTCTTAACAGGACTGTTGACTTTGAAGAACCCTGCATCAAAAGTTTTCATTTCCTGGGGCTCCACAACTACGGGCACCTGCTGCTCTTGTTGCTGCTTCTGCTGTGCCTTCATTTGCGCACGGAACTCAGCAAATTTGGACTTCACCACTGGTTTAGTAGATTTCTTGGTAGCTTTCTTCTACAAAAGAAATACAAACATGCATTGGCCAATAAGTAAGAAAAAATAAGAAAAAGTTTTAAAATCAATTTAAATCCCTCAAACCATATAAGTCGCCAATATCTGTTAATGAGGAAACTATTTATTGGACACTCAAATGTGCACTTGGATCACACAGTAACAAAAACAAATTTATCTATATAATATACAACTGCTCCTTGTTCTTATTTGTGTTTTAAAAGATACACTTCTAATATTGATTGTAATTTAACAAGACAGTAGTTTGTGAATTTTAAACATAAATGATCAAAAAATTTCATAATGGCTCACCGGTATTTCCTTTTTTGCAACTTGCTCTGGTTTCTCCTCTACCCAACTTTTGGCCTGGAGTTTTTCCAGGCCACTGAATTTGACATTTACATCTTCCACCTTGAAAATGCACCAAAACAAAATAATAATAATAATAGTTATGGCAAATAGCTATCCCTTTTCAACCTCATAAAACAAAATGACAGACTTCAATAGAGAAAATTAAGAAATGAGGAAAAATTTGCAATAGAATCAAAACTTACTTGAAAATAGACCATATCCCAAAAACCCTGTAAATCAGTGCAGGTGGTCTCCTTTTCTCCAGTCTTGTATTCACAGTTGTCCACCAGGCCACTAAACTGCTTAAATCGCTGGTCCATCAAAAGCTGGGCTTGACCAATAGTGGTACGGATCTGACCACGAGCTGAAATGTCATCATGCACTCTGAGGTTAATAACAATGTTACTCACAAGCATCCCAGTATCGTACTTAAAAGAAACACGCTCTAACTCATCTTTGTTTGTACTTCACAAACACACACACACACACACGCAAAAATGAAAGATTTATGCACAGCAATGTTTTAAAACATTTGATTTGCAAAGTGCTGGTATTCTAAAGTTTCAAATGAAATCACAAACCAAAATCACTTACCATCTTCAGGTATATCAGGAGTGGAACTGTTCACCTCCTCCCAGTGCTTGCACAATGAGGTCAGTCTGCTGGTCTCAGATGTTAATAAATTCCTGAAGTACGGCACATCATGCTCGCCACTGCTGCTGCCCCCTGGTTTTATGTCCACAATGGTGGCTTCTAGCTGGGAGTTGAGGTTCACAGGTGCACAGACCGTGTCTATATCATCAAATGATGGCAGGGGTGCCTGTTGTTCTGAAGCTGAAAGAAGGAAGAGCATGACAGTAGCAAACAGCTATCACAATTAATTACAATAATAAAATAATAATTGATTAAAAAACATCAGACAGTCAAAGTACTTGCTCTTACACTACAAGTGATGTGAAATCCTTAATGTTGGGGTCAATAAAATGTTATCTCTTACTTGGAGTTTTCTCTTTTGGTGTCTTCTTCCTCACTTCAATCATTGGACTCTGGCAGATCATTGCAACCCTTGAAAATAAAGCCATGGATTACTTCATACTGTTGTACCAAAGGATTGCAAAACTGTAAGTTACAGCAGTAGAAAAGAATCCCTTCCAGACTATTTTAAGCCCTTTTTTCAAATGAATACCACGATAATAGATAAGGGAAAAAACAGCTTCCTTGAAACTAAACTATATATATAAGAAATACAGTGTGACAAAAAATACAACTCCATCCATTACTAATGCTACATAAAATATATTCTTACTTTTCTTCGGGAGTAAGGTTTTTACTTTTTAGCTTTTTGGAAGATGCTCTTAGTGGAGTCTTGAAGGTGAACTGCAATGGGGTTTTGGTCTCTGTGACAAAAAAAAAGTAATATTAAAAAACATCTTAAAAATGCATTAATGGGAAAGAACATAATGGATCACTTTTACGCACAGTAAGTTACACCAAATCTAGCATAATGACCATATCAAGCATAATCAATTAGTTGACATCAGCTAATCAAAGCAACCCACGTACCCTTTCACCAATTCCAGATGTAAAACATGCAAAACATTACTTATTGTCCAATCAAATCGCCTTTCACCTCCCAAAACCATGCTATTTACCTTTCTTTGTGAGTGAGGTGTCCATCCCCTGTGACCTCTGGTCAGTGGCCTGAGGTGTTCTGGTCACCTTACTGACCCCCTGACTTGGCACAGTGTTCTCGTCCGCAGATTCCTCAGAGGCAGACTGGATAGTGGGTTGCGGAGAGTGCACAACCTTAGAACTGCGCTTTACACTCTGGCCTTTTGGGGTGGAGCATCTTCTGTTGGTAATTTTAAAAAATGCAACACTCAAATTCATCACCATGGAATCCAAAACTCTTGTTTTTTTTTTTTTGTTTTTCAAGCACTGCAGAAAACATGTTGTGTATCTTTTCTTGAATATTACTAGCTTAACTATTGTATTTTAAAACAGTCTTTCACTTTAATGATACATAAAAAAACAAACCTCTTTGTCACAGAGCTAGTAAGATAAGATCCTCCTTCTTGGCTGGGGAACAGGAAGCTAGCAGCACTAGCCGGACTAAGTGGCTTGAACTCAAAAGGTGACAAGTTGGATGGAGCAGCAAATGTAAAATCCACAGGAGCAAAGGAAGTAAGACCACTATGACCTGCAATATTTGGTTCTTGGGCAGTGTCTTCTTTCTCGGGTTCCTGTTTTGGTTTTGACTCAGCAGTCTTTTGCTTCTTGGTTGGTCCTGAATATGACAATTCTTATTGATCAGTTAAATCAGGAGTCTGTGCCAAAAACTTTTTAGTCAACTAACACTTTGGGCAATCAGTGTCCGAAGGTGGGCTAGTGTTATATAAAATTTAATTTTAGGTGGGCAATTGTCTCTTGCTATTGCCAAATAGCGCAGACTGCAGGACATAGCCAAAGGTATGAAAATGGAACTCTGCATTTTCTCTATCACACAGTCAGGTCTGTTGTGGTGTTTGCCAAATTATATTCTTTGTTCAATTACCTTTGGTCAAAATGGCCTTGTTAGCAGCTTTAGCAGCTGCCCTGGTTGACGGTCTCCTGACAGGCTCTGGCTTTGTTACAGCTTTGACGGGATTTCTGCTCACTGGGGCCTGGGAGGAATTCTTTTTAGGTTGATGGATTACAGTAGTTGACAGCTATAGAAAAAAAAGTTAATTAGTTTTCATAATTTATTATACTTTAACCACTAGGTTGTTTCCCATGCATATTCATGAAAAAAATTGCATTCCACTAACTTAAAAATAATGGATAATAGTTTCATTCTTATTTTTACCTTTTGATTTGTATTATTCTTTATCTCGGCAACACTGTGGTGAACTATTGACACTTTAAAGGGTTGCTTATTTGCTTTTGATTTTGCATCAAGTTTTCTCTTGAGATCCTTTTCTTGCTTCCATTTTTGCAGCATTTCCCGTCTTGATACTTTGGAAGCTGGAATAAAGGTAGAGAAAATACAAATGCCATTGTGCTGCCAGAACTAAACTGTTACCAAGTTAAGATAAAACTCATTTTCTCATATATTTATCAGCTTTGATGATTGAAGAATTATAAAGCCACATAAAACAATGTAAAAATACTTAATTAAATTATGGTAGTTTTGTGTGAGATGATAAATGTCATCATGTGGTTTTTAGAATCATCAACTGATTAAGGTGACAGTTTGGCATGTTTTAATACACGTCTTAATTTATTGTAAATTGAATTGCCGTATAATATGTCGACACTCCAAATATTCACCCTTGCTACTACTACTACTACTACTAGCATATTAATCGGTGTACAGTGTTTTATTATTATTAATTGGAATTGGAGAATAACACCAACATACCCATATTTCAATATATTTTGCTGCGTGGGTCATAAACCAAACTGACAGACTAATCCATGTCAAATCCAGTCACGACCATAATACAGCACATTTGTTTTCGAATCATTTGAAATGCAGCGATGACATTATTCAAAACGAAAACGGAATATTAATTGCGTAAAATTACCTCTAGGTTTGCTCCTGGGAGTTTCACATCTTGGCTTTCTCTTGGGAGTTTCACCCTCTCCTTTTTTCCTGACATCTTCCCCTGCTTTGTTTTGGTCGATCTCAACCAAAGGAGAGAGCACGGCTGGCATCTTTCTTCGCTTGTTTAGCTGGTCATCTCGTTTGTTTTGCCGGTCAATGGATTTGCGATGAGCTCTTAATGCCCTCTTGTCGATTGTGCTTGATTTTTTCTTGAAGGAGGCCGCATGCTCACCTCCTTTAAAACACTTTTCCATGTTGAGGTTTTAAACAAATTGCTTTTGCCAGGTTCTCACACATTCAAATTCCCTCGATGTAAATTTCAGTCAAACGATTGGCTCATACGGGTCCCAAGACACGACGTAGATGTATTAACAAAAGATAAACTATAATGATTTGTAGATGCTGCATACCTAATTGGTCATAGATATAAGAATGAAAATGAATGATGTCAATTTTACGCTTTGAAAGGGCATCTGAAATTATTTCAGTAGAAATCTGGATCGTAGGCTCATCTTGATAATAGCGACAAGATGGATAATTGAGTCACATCGATGTATACCCGCAGCCAGAACCGTAGGTAATGAAACGTGTTCCTCACTCCATTCATCTTCCTGGATATTTTCCTACAGGAAAGAGCTTAGTTAGCTCTTTTCTGTTCAATAATGAGCTTAGACATTGAAGGAATTTATTATATACTTAGCATAGATAATGATCTTATGACTGTGGTCCGAAATATTGATTCATGAATGATGACTGGCTTATTCTAGAGGACAACATGTGGCCAAATATGTAGTATTTGTCAAGTTGTGTAATATGGATACATAATTTTATGTCCCAACATCGTCACTCCGTCACAGTATAACTTCCCCTTGGTAAGAATGTAATCTAAAAATTAATTTAAAAACTTTATTATAAATACAACAGTTTTAATTTAAAAAAGTACGCCTTTGAATTTTGAATAATTTTTCAGCCTTACATGTTACTAGTAAGTATACTTATTGCAGATAAGGCTTCATAACACTCTGTGTTACAGGCTCTTGAGGCCGTGGAAATTTGTGTGTTCTTTGCACAATTAAGGTTCTTTTGTATTGATTCTTGCACCAGTTTCATAATATTTTAGTTTTTTATTCCTAGCCATATTGCAGTGCTACAGTATCATTTATAAATGACTTTTTAAAGTGACTGAACATGTCGCCTAAAGAGTTTGTAGCACAGGGCATTGTAAGATCTTACCTGCATATTATGTGAGGTTGAATACTAGGCAATTCCAAAAACTCAAGTGTTCTTTTTTTTTTCAAATCATCTGTCAAGATATGGGATGTAACAAGGTGACCCCCTATATTTATGTTTATCACTAATATTATAGTTCATGTATGTACCTGGGCACTGCAGTAAGAAGCAAATGCAAACTACTGAGACCAAATCTTTGAGAAAGTGTAAGGTAGCATAATAATCTACCTGTAATATGGAATTTTATGAACTTTTTGTTTTTATTCAAGGGAGGGCTCATGACCAGTGATGTTGCTGTTATGATAGAGGGTCCATGTGAACAGATTGGCAGGCCAGGGAACATCTCCAGGTGTGTCACATTGTTGTACAGTTTATACCTGTGCAGTCTTTGGACTGCTGGACACTCTATCAAGATGGTAAGATCTTGTCTTAAACTCTGCAATAATAGGAGAGGTGCTAGAAACATTCCTTTCAAGAACAAATGCAGAAGGATAATTGCATACATAGCGGCAGCTGTGTTGGTGATATTGCTACTATTGAAGATATTAAATTCCATAGACTTGTGGATACTTCATTCAAGGCTATATGACCCAACGCTGAATCCAACTTTAGTTCCTTTTGAAAAGTTGCCACCTACTGGGAAACACAAAATACCAAAAATTATTCATCAGACTTGGAAAGATCCCTATGTCCCCTCTCGGGTGACAGCTTGGGTGAAGTCTTGGAAGCAAGTGCACCCAGACTGGGAGTATTGGTTTTGGACTGATCACGGTGCCAGAGAGTTCATCAGAACAACATTTCCTCCATATCTCTCCATGTATGATAACTATATGCAGAACATTCGTCGAGCTGATTCCATGAGGTACTTCATTTTGTACCACTTTGGGGGACTTTATGCAGATACTGACATGCAAGCTGTGAGACCAGTAGATCCGCTGACTTACAAATATAACTGTTTTCTTGGACAAGAGCCACCTGAGCATTCCCTTCTGGACACCAATAACAAACACCTTGCAATCAATGCCATCATGGGCTGCAGACCTGGGCATCCATTCTTTAAGTTGGTGGTAGAAAGGCTGCCAGACTTTTCTCACATGTGGGACCTACTGGACAGCACTGGCCCACATTTTCTCACTAGCGTTTGGAAGGAATATTCTCGCAGAAATATATCAGATACAAATGGTGACGGAGTGTTTCTGGCCCCAGCTGAATACTTTATTCCAACCACTGACCCTTACAAACCATTTTACTTCAGGTCCAGATGTAAAAATGTTGAGAAACTGACAAGGAAACAAAAAGAGGCTTGTGTTAGCTTTTATATAAAAAAATTGAGAGAAAAACCTGCACCGTATTCGTTTTCTGTTCATCACTGGATCCACACTTACCTACCCACTGAGCAATTGATATGGTACCTACCTACAACTCATATCAGAGACTTGGTTCCTGATGTTAAGTTGAAATATGATCATGAATACCCTGAAGAGTGAAGTCACTGATTATTTGTTTTACAGTATTCGGGTAATAAATTCATTTCAATAAAATTTTGAAGATTCAATTTTTTTATAAAACATATGCAGTTGCAGGCCTACCCAACTACCAGACTCAGCACTGAATGATCCTGAATTCACCGGTAGATCGGACTACACTACCCATTTTTAAGGAGTGTACACGATGTGATACTGATGATTCTCAGCGGGGTTGGCAACTAGTGCATCTCATCTCAAAATTTGTTCCAGGGTATGATATTTGGAAATGTGTACTGATGCACACCTTGAAAAAGGGTAGTGTGGTCCAATCTACTGGTGAATTCAGGATCATTTGGTGCCAAGTTTGGTAGTTGGGTAGCCCTGAGTTGGTTGCAGTAATTGTTTCATCAGAGATTCTGTGATAGTTTTCTCTACACAGTAGAGTACATTAGAGGTCAATTTTGAAAGTGTTAGACTTTTCCAAAAGCAAAATAATAATAATAATAATATAAAAAATCATCCAAATCATTGGGGAAAACCAGAGACCTATGATCCTTATACTATGGCAGATGTTCAAGAAAAAAAAAGACCCAGACATGGTGTTTTTGCATATGTACAGGATGCATGATCCTGAGTTATACCATGCCTGTATGTTGTCATCGACATCTGCCATGGAACAGGTTGGATACACCACTGGCCACCACACTGTGACAAACATGGGGAAAACTTTGGAGGTACTGAAGGTCTGGAGGACCTGCACTACAAGAAATCTGCATGTCCTTTTAATTTTGTCCATAGGTCGATATTTACATATGATTTACTTTTANATACTACAAGATCATAGTTATTTACTCAAATTAAATTATATTTTTGAATGTTTTTTGGGGGGAGTCAGATTTTCATGGTACACCGGGCCTCTGAGGCCCGGTTTCAGGGTTTACGTAGGGTTCCATTTCCTTGTGGATGAGGGCATGTATGGTATTTCCACATTTATGTTGCCAGTCCAGAGGAACTGCATCATCCAAAATCTTGCTGGTCTTCTGGCTTTTCAGAGGTTAATGTTGGGTCAGACTGTCAGTTTCCCCATGTCTGCTGTGTCATCCACTCATGCTTCACACTTGTGCATATCACTTAAAACTCACTATCACAAATGTATTCTGGTTTTAGTGTTAAGTTTAGCAGCCACTCAGTTTGTGGCGTGTGACTGTAATATTCCAAGTGGCATGCAACAGACCACAAATGAAATTGTTGTCTAGACAGAAAGAAATGACTTGAGACATGATACCACAAAAGCGTGCTCAATGGCTGTAAATTTTACCTTTAGTCTATACCAAATGCCCAAACAGTTGATGTTAAAGGATAATCTGACAACAAAGTGCTTAATTATATATATATAAATAAAATATATTACTTATGATAATTAATATTTTATGTAAACTATTTATGTCTCCAATTGGATAAAATCAGCAATATGACACTTTATTTCAGTTAATTTGCCTCTTTAAGGAAAAAATTCTCAATCCTGCCACATAGTGCTAGGAATTTTAATTTTAAAGGTATAGTAATAATAATTATCTGCTTTCAGTATTCCTAATGAACTAAGCTCAGGTCTTAATGTACAAAATTAAATCAGACATGGTGAAAAAGTGGAAGTGGAGACTTAAAGTTGTTTTTATTAGATAGTACAATTATTTTTCATGAATGCACCTTGGGTTATTGTTGTGCCATTGAATAATATAGATTTAATTTCAATGTTTCATTGTCTGTAGGTTAACCACTGTTGTTCAAGAAATTGAAGACTGGATGTGAAGATCGGATAGCCTATAAAAGGTATGACTTCCATTTAAAAATAGATAACCTATTTTGTTAGTTAAGATCAGCGGCTAGATGGAACTTCAAGAAATGTTATACTTATTTATAGTAATTCAGATAAATGTTAAATTGAATAAACCAATAAATGTGCATTTCTGATGCAGACGTGGTTATGCATTTGAAAACACTGAATGTAAGAATTAGCCTGATATTGAATTTTTCAGTCAGAATGATATTTCTGAAAGTGTATTTAATTTTAAATCGTTATCTAATAATTCAGTTAATGGCTATACTTTCGTAGTAAACGACATAATGCTCTGCCTTCAGAAAAGTCAGGAAATACAAGATGGCAGACATCTCGCAGTCCACAGATGACCAAATAACTTTGGTGGTTGACGGTCATTCTCTGCAGTGTGGCAGAGACGTACTCAGGAAGGCCAGTCCGTACTTTGAGGCAATGTTTAACAGTGACATGATGGAGAGCACAGCCAATTGTGTCAACCTTAAAGGAGCTTCATATGAATCCGTGGAGCTCTTGATACAGTTTGCCAATAACCAAGACATATCCATAACCTGGGATAATGTTTATGCTCTTTTGGAAACTGCATGCATGTATCAGTTTTCAAACGTTTCCGACAAATGTAGCTCATTTCTATTGAAACACCTTGGAACTTCAAACTGCTTGCGAAGTATGTATCTGGCAGATGTTTTATCACTGAAAAACCTGTACAATCAGGCCAAAAGGTGGGCAGTCTGGTTTTTTGAGGAGGTTACCCAGCAGGATGATTTTATGCAAATGGATATCCGAGCTTTGACTGACTACTTAAGTTGTGAATATCTACAGACGTCTAGTGAGGCTAATGTATTGTGGTGTGTCCTCAGATGGATTGAATATGACAAAGATGAAAGGCTTGGTCAACTCCCAGTTATATTAAAGCTGGTGAGATTTGAACTCATTGCATCAAATGAGATTCAAGAAGTTATAGAAATGTGTCCAATAGTAAAATCAAATGCAGAGATCCAGAATATGCTCAAGGAATATTTTAAGATGGCAGCAGTGGCAGATTTCAAAAAGGTCAGTGTAAATTGACTGTATTTCCATCATGTTTAAAATGTTTGGCCAAAACAAAAGTATCTTAGAAATAAATTTAAACTTGTTTGACTTAGAAATAATGTGTGTAGAATGAACAGCTGCTTATAATTTTTTCTTCCTTTTTGCTTTAAAGAAGAAATCTGAATCAAACATGGGATTTAATTTTTGATTGACTTGTTATTTCACAGGATCCCAGAGGCATCCCCCTGAGATTGGGCATAGTTGGTGGGAACCATACCCCTCTTGAAAATGGTGATGTTCAGCCTAACCTCAGTGTCCAGTATTTAGACCCTGACCAGGGACTGCTGCAGGAACTGTGTAGTCTGAAAAATGTTTTTTCAAATTCAAAACAGATCAATGGTAGCAAAGCATGTGTCATAGGTAAAATTTTGATATAAAAGATGTCTGTTTGATAAATTTACATTTTTCTCTGTCATGATTATTGTCATTTTATATATCATGTTCATTAATGTTCATTTGAGAAATACAATGTAGAACGTAAAAGTCTTTTTTATTTATTGTATTAAGAATTTGGTGCAACCTGTTGGAATTCAAAGATGATCTTGAAGTAAAGTTTATATTAAAATGCAAAAAAAAAAAAATTGTTATGCCTTCATTATTCAATTCTAGGTAAGGATTTATATGTTACTGGCGGAGAAGCAAAACTTGGGCACAACCAATGGTTCTATGATGTATGGAAGTTTGACAGCATATCAGAACAATGGGAAATTATTACACAGCTTCGTCAGCCTCGAAGGCACCACGGGCTCTGTGTCTGGGATGAAAGCTTTTATTTGGTTGGTGGGTTTGGAAGACACAGGCTAGTACTGGATAGTGTGGAAAAGTACAACACTAAGACAGGTATGCAGTGGTTGTGATGAACAATCAAATCAGATACTTTCATCTTATCAGTTTAACAAAGGGCTGCACAGTGAGGTGAAGGGGCCAATCAGGGGATCCCCCCCCCCCCAAAAAAAAAAAGTACAGGATTTTCTAGCTTCATCAGGATTGAAGTTCTCACTGCCCAGCACTTTCTCTCTCAAAATGAAAATGCTTTTTAATAATGTTTTTCAATGTTCAGAAGTAATGGCATGTGTGAGTAATTCTACTCTTAAGAAAGGAATAAATAAATATTATTATTATTATTGTGATAATGAAGATGAAGAGTATTTTTCATCTCACAATTTACAGGTCAGTGGATCAAGTGTGCAGCATTGCTGACACCCCAGTACTCTGCTGCTGCTGCTGTATGCAATGATAAACTGTATGTCATCAAACATGATATACAATGTTACGAACCTACACTGGATTATTGGATACACTTGAAAATTCCACTCCCATTTGAAAATGGTCTCCATTGTGCAATGACTAGAGGGAAGGTTATCTACCTTACTGGACAGTACATCTTGGACCTTCTAGAATTTGATACAGTGGCAAAGAAATTCAGCAAACGGGGAAAGTTTAGGAAAGCACTGGGTAGCGCTTGCATTGTCCAAGATACGATATTTGTTGTCGCTGGGGAGGAGTGCAATGTTATTGAAAGTTTTGATCTCATATCAGGAAAATTTGATGAAGTCTTGCATTTGGATTATTATTTAAATAACCATAACGCGGTTACCATACCAATATTTCCTAAATTTTCATAGATTTGCCAAAATAAAAAAAATCTGGAATGCCACTCAATATTTGTTAGAAAATTCCATATATGTACCGGTGCCTTAGACGAGTTGAAGCAATGTAGAGTTAATATAAATATTAATAAAAGCTGTTTTGAATTACCCCGTTGTAGATGTGCTATAATATCTGATCTCCCCCAGTACTAGTGTGTTCCACAACCGATAGCATGAACACGTTACATGATGTCTGGATATGTTTCGCGGCATTGCTAAACGAGAACGTTTATAACTGCATTAGAATCCAGCAGTAGGCGTTTTACACCGTATGATTTATAAAAAAATAATATTACTATGGTTGTGTTAGACATTAAAGTCCCTTTGAAGAAAATTTATAGGACACGTGGCAGAAACAGTTCAAAATGTCTTGATGTCTTCAACAGCTTTCTAGCGTTTTTTTTTTTTCCATTATCTCATTGACCCGCAAACTTCTTGATTCTGTTCAAAACAGTTAAACGTGCCTTTTGAGACATTAGTATAGGTTTTTAAATGAAAACTATGAAGATGTAAGACATAAAAAATATGATGAACTAAACCTTTCAAAATTTCAGAGATTTGAAGTTGATGCCAACTGCACATTCATATGACACACTCAAACAGATGTTGACCTTGTTTTCGTGGTGTACCCACTCAACGTTGTCAGAAAATAGAAAAGCACCCATGGCGACGTTTCTAAATATTTTCAAGTTTTATTTATTGCATTTGAGAGAGTGATTACTCGTGGGAAACATTAGTTACGATGCAGTACCAGAGCAATAGTTGGCATGATAAACACATCTGCTGAAGGTCTTGCCTATTTGACCTTTTTTCACTTTATCTAAATCGAAATCGCGGCAATGTGACCTGTTACGTTATTTTTAGAGGGTCACGGCCAATTTTGTTGACTTTTTATCAGGTGCTACCACTGACTCTAAAGTTTAAACAAATTAATCCATAGTATGATTAATTACAAAGATTTGTATTGCAAAACGAAAGCGCTCTTCCTTTCAACATGTTCATTTCGCTTGATATTTTGATAAGATTATGTAAAATGGAATGAATCGTTGAACCAATTTTTGCTAAGAGGACCCAAATGTATGTTACTGATCAGGCCCGTAGCCAGCAATTTCAAAAGGGGGGTTCTTTTTCTGAAAAAGTGGACCTTTTCCCATAAAAACAATAATATACCTAGTTCAATTTTTACCCAGAGTGGACCTTTTCCCAGCAAAAGGGGCGGTTCTTTCGAACCCCCCGAACCCCCCCTGGCTACGGGCCTGCTGATGTTTAACTTATCTGACAATTCACAAAAGTCAATGGGTATTTGAGACTAGACAAGAGGCATCGACTTGCTTGCGTGAGAAAAGCTCGTGCTCTCTATCCATTCTTTTATTGCAATTTCTTTCGATTTCCGCTCTGAAATCCTGCACACATAGTCAGGCAGTTCTTGTGTTTGTTCCGTTTCACATTTCGCTCCGGGCGTTGCTCCACCGTCTTTCGTCAAGTCTTTTCCTAGGGTTTCTTCGACAGGATTTCCCCCATTCACCATTGAAACCAGTTTTCCAGCTGCCTCCTCCAACTGTGCTAGATTGTCTGGAGCAACTTTTACACCTTCGTCTTTATTAATTGGGTTTTCCGGCAAATCGCCGTCAGCGTCCCCAGGTAAATCCCCTTGTACGCTAGAGACTGTTATGTCGTCCACCCAACAGTGGAAATAGGGGCGCGGTTCTTCTTCTTCATCCTCCTCGTCCTCCTCTTCCTCCGTGTCCTGTGTGGACTGTTTGCTGAGTTTCGATGACGGCCTTGTTGATCTGAAATACAGGTTTTACATAATAATTCTGTTGTTCGTTTCTGGTGTTAATTACCACAAGGTTGCCGATCTTTTGATCTGTGAACCATTATCTGAACACCACGCGAGTCGATGAACCATAAACTAGTAGGTTCTGTGTTCGAATTTATATTTAATTAAGCATGTGATTCCGAGCGAGCACCAGCTTATAACCCCGTATTATGTATGATAATCCCTAGTAGAAAACCAATAAGATCAATAGCACTCGAGAGGATTAAATCTCTTCCCTTAACTGAAGTATCGTATCACGAATCTGTACAAAGCGACAGTTTCTAAGTTAATCAATAGCTAGCAACTGAGATTTTAACACTATTCCCACCAGATGATTATGTTAAAAAAAAAAGAGGTGGAAACTTACTTGGCTCTAGACCCTTTTACGGGAGATTTGGCCTGACTGCTTGGCCGATTGTTATCACTGGAAGACTTTTTGCCAGTTGGTGTTTTTTTGCCTTTCTTTTCTTTTTGTTCAGTGTCTTCTTTGGAAACGCTCTCTTGTTTTTTCAATTTTGGTTTGACCTGCTCAGTCGGGGTGTTTTTACTCTGATCTATTTTTGAAGTCTTTATAACTTTCTTTTCGTTTTCATTTTCATCGAGCGTCGGAGGAGGCTCATCAATGTCTTTTTCACTTTCCACGAGTTTTTCTAATTCCGGCATAAGCTCATCGGCGATTGTCGATGCCTCATTGTCCGATCCAGCATCGTCAAACTGGGGGAAGTTCCGGGGGCGATTGAGAATCCGGCAACCCCAAATTAATCGGCACAAATTTCGTGTCCTTTAGATCAAAGTCTTCTCCCGGCTTGCCGACAAGGTTGTATTCCTTGTTATGTTTACTGATATATTGTTGTAAACTTGGCTGAGTTTTGGACCGCTGGTGGTTGTAAGTTGAATGAATTGATTCGGATTTCGGTCGTGTTCTAATTGCGTTCATGAGTTCAGGTTTTTTGTTATAAATAGGACTTCCAGTCTTTGTAGGTCCCGAGTGAGGTGATTTCTTACCAGAGATTCGTAAATCCACATTGGAGCCTTCTGTTGCTGCTTTTTCCACTGCATAGTTGAACATTTCTTTTCCGTACGACCTCAGAGTTTCACTCATTTCGTGAGCCTTTTTCACGGTCTGGTTGTCATCGTATCTTTCTCTTCGTTTTTCTGCCATCTGACCCTGTATATGACTGAGGCTTTGGCTCATGGGCAGCTCATCCAGCGGCCACCTAGGAATAACAGAGAAACATGCTCGAGAAGGAGCTGTACAAGGTCTACGAATGTTCTTCATGATCTGCCCGGTAAATATCTAGCTAATGATATAGGCTATATCCCTGAATATTCCTATCTTTCGTAAAATGTTTGCGTATTCCCACAATAAGCCATGATATTTTGATTCCGTCTAGACCCGTCAGTGGTATCAGTGTCAAAGTTTATGCTAACTGAAATATTGGCAGAGAATGCGCAACCTATATTTCACACACGACCAACACAATAGAGCCTCTCTGCGTGATTGTGTTGTTGCTACGCCGCTGTTGTGCTTTCTTTAATGTTAATCGAATAAACGAACAAGGATGTGTCCTTTATAGGAAATAAAGCGTTCAATAGTCGATCAACACGTGGAGTTATTGGTAAACAATTCAATAAAAGGGAAAGTTATTTTGAGTGGCAGGTGAGTGATTTTACCTTAGTTGATTGTTGGTAGATTATTGTTCATTACCAGAAGGACTTCATTTTAGGCTGACTTATCCAAAATATACTAAATCTCAGCCAGATTTGATAGTATCGAAAACGCGCTTAAAATTTGTTAAAACAGGGTATTTAATGCCACTATTTAGTCACCTATGCCCATAAGTAGTTGGAAAAGTCTAGTTAAAGGGGCACACAAAGCTTTCCAAGTGTTGCAGTTTCAGAATTTCGATACAAATTCAAACATCTGACACCCAAAATTGTCTAACTGCGACCATTTGTACCGACCGCTGTCTGCTTTCACGATCGTGACATGCCTCTTCAACAAGTGAAAATTGAATTTCCCAGTCTGATAGAAATGTACGTATTTTTGCAAAACAGATTTATATGTTATCCATATAGTCTTTATTGTTTGAATTAAAAAATTAATCTTTGACGAGTTTTATAGCTTTATTTTGCTCCCCAAAAGTTTTTAAAAAGCCCTTTTAAATAATCTGAGCTTGAGGAAAAGTCAACTGAGCCAGATGAAACTGATAGAATGGTTAAAGAGCGCGACCGACCTGAACGTGATGGTGTTGTTTTTATGCGCTAGAATCGCCCACACTGGATTTGACACGTACAACCCCTTAATTAAAAAAGAATAAAAACAATTAATGACCGGTCTTCCCTGAAGTATTTCTGCTATGCTTTTTTAAAGATCATATATTTGAAAAATGAAATTCAACTACCGACCCTGTTAACAATGTTTTGCTGCTTATTGCGGGAGTTCGATACGTTAAGATTTATTTCCTAACCCTTAAAATAATATATGAATAAACATTGACCAGTTATGAGATAATGCTGTCACATTAAAAATACATTTTGCTAATTCATGCTGAGGATATAACAGCGACAGATCTCCCTCACCTAAACAGCGATCAACACCGCTTTATAGGCTGTTTCATTAGCAATAAGTACTACAATCCGATGCCAGGAATTTTTCTTGAAAGGCTTACTCCTAAACAAAACACTAAAATAAATAAATATATTTACACGNTAATAACCAAAACAGGTACCGGATTGCATTTTACATCTTAGCCATCGACCTTGCACATTTTCATTACTTAGTTACGTAGTTACTGATCACTATCTCCCACGAAGCAGCAAATTTGACGATTAACGCTTGGCCACCCCATGTGAAGAAACGCGTGAAGCGGCGAGTAAAGCAACAAAAAAGGGAATTTGTGCCCCGAAAGTGTTTTTTTTTTAAATTACACTAACACTAAGATGAGTACATTTGTATTTTACATAAAAGAACTGCATTCACTGAATTGTCAATTCTGTCTGACTTTCATCAGCGTGGAATTTTCGTTAAAACGAATTGACTATATTTTTTTAAACGAACAGCAACATGTAAAAAGATACATTATAGCGGTCCCCATAAATGTATAAGATCATGTAATCCGCGGACTCGATCCAACTTACCTTGATATGATTTTACTCGTAAAGGTCTTCTGTATAGGATCCGGTGTTAGGCCAACCCCTAATAGTTACCATAGCCTTAGTTCCAGTATCAGCAACGCCCTGCTCTCTGAATTGCCTTCCTTTCATAAGTATTCAAACATTTTGTTTGATCACGGATACGCGCTCGTTAATAAACGTTTGATTATCACTGATTAGTTAAACATACTTTGCCAGCATGGAAAGTTGGCCCAAGTCAGGTTGTCAACAGTCTTACCTCCTCAAACAGCGGTCAATTTGTGTTAGCAGCTTTGGAGGCTCTCTTTTTAACTGTTGTCCTTATGTCGTTGAAAAAATCGTATTATTACTGTAGTGTCGGTTGGTTGGTCAGCGTGTTATTATCCTTAGAGCGAAAACATTAGATACAATATACATTAAAATTACTTCAATGGATTTACCTTAACTGTGTTATTTCTAAGGGTAGGCAAGCTTTTTGTTTCCAAAAAATAAATGCCCCCCTCCGTACCAAATAAGACCTATTCCATCCGAACAACGCTTTGAAATTCATAACAACCCTCTTAACTTTGAATAGATCTGAATATTAAGGGCTTGCATTTCAATTATACTTGCACCTGCTTCAACCTTTATGTCAATAACCGCTCAAAAGATGGCCATAACCTTGCTTTTCTTCATAAAAACACATTAGTTTTTGTTTCAACTGTTTTCTTAGCCAGAAAGTGGTCTGCATGAGGTTCCGTAGAAACTCTTCCTAAGTTGTAGTTTCCATAGAACAGCAAATTTAAGATTTCACTTAGAATTACTGGTAATTTCCGACGTGGTGGTACCCCTGTTTTTCTTCTTTTTTTTTCTGCGTCTCTTATACAAAACTTCCATCATCATTTTTGTATGAAAGCGCAAACATTAGGGAAGAAAAAAACGAGACCTTTCACGCAATACTATCTCAAAGTAAATAACTACTGTGAAAACTTGGCATTAACATTTCCAATGGTGTGACAACCGCTTTCAATGACAGACTTAAAGATAATATTTGTTTCAATTTGTGTTACATTTACATTTTGGTATCAGATGAAAGGCTTTTGATTTAACTCAACATTATCTTAACTACCGAGTATTCAATGTCATTTCGTTTTTACAATATTTGATACTTATTCGGTAATTACATTGAAAGTAAAAATCATGTTGTATTTGCGCGATGCTATAGGGTAGAAATAACTTCACATTGAGACACCAGTGAAAATTTGGTTAACGAGCCCGCCCGACCCTAGTTTTGAGGAAATCGTGCGTACTATGTTTTGTCTAATGGAAAAATGCAATTTTACATTGGTCTGGTAAGAGGAAATAATTTAATTGACCCAACAAAAATCTTAATGCTGTTGTTTTTACGATAAAAAATCTCCAACATTGGGGTTGACACCCCCTAAAATACTTTTAAAAAAGAGAAAAAAAGCTCATATGTTAAAAATTAAAACAAAAACTAATGTAAATTTCGTCTAGCAACCACGTTCACAGTAGGTTGCCGCTCCTTAATTTTGATTTTTCTAACTGAAATTAGTGTATTAAAAACTATAACTAGTCAAAACTTAATGCTGTTGCTTTTACGATAAATAATCGCCAACATAAGGGATTGACCCCCCCCCTCCCCAATATTTAAAGAAAGAAAGAAAGTGCTCATATGCCCGTTAAACATCATATGTTAAAAAAATGAAAATAAAAACTGATGTAAATTTGGTCTAGCGACCCTGTTTACAGAAAGTTTACAGGAGTTTCTTAACCAACGTAAAGAATTTGGCTAGTGTGACTGCATTTAGTTTATTGAAAAATAAATGGCTAAGTTATCTGTCTAACAACAGTTTTAATTGGCTTTTTGATTTCAATTTGCTCACTTATTCAAAGGAAAGAAATCAGCGCAACTCCCTCTTTGCGAGGTTAAGGATTCCCAAGGAAGCTTGTTGTATTTCCACAAAACGCTCTTGGGGAATCGTTTATCTGATTCCTTGGATTGAAAGGCGCGGCTACAGAAGCAATGTGGTATGGAGATTGTACAGAATTTTTCTTTTCAAAGTGATTTCAAACCAAGTCCTTTCTTTTTCCTTGAACAAAATAATGCTGACAAACACAACATTACTGCAAGCGGGGTGAGCGCCGCAATCCCAGGAACGAATAACTTCTTTAATGTAAAGACGATACCAGCATCTTTTACAGACTGTTGCACCCAGTCCAGCAGATTGTTAGATCTGTGCACACTTTCCAAGTATAGTTGAATCATCTGAAGGACGACAATGAGTGAAACGCACGTTGTCACTAGAAAAACTCGCACAGTTGTCCGCGGACTGGATAGCTTGGAAGCTTTCGCCAGGCTCTGCAACAAAAAATACCTTTGCGCTATGATTGCTAAGAACAAAATGAGGGAACCCCACCCGACAGCGGAATCGCTAAGGCGAGAAGCACAGGAACGAAACTCAGTCAAACTTGAATACACTCCTCTGAACTCTGCTCCTCGTAGGCCTATACACCGTCTAGATGATGTTAATAGTATCACAAAGTCAACAGCAGGCAAAATTACTGAGTATAATTCGGGAGTCGCACACAGTTTGCCTTGGGTTCGTATTTTTCTGAAAATTGTTATGATCATTACCAGGAAACAGAATAAGGTGATGAGGTATGTCACATAACACCAGCACCTCGTAGGAGTGACGCTTGAGTCAGAGTCAACTGGAACAGGTGGATGGATGTCACAGTCAGGTCCCGAATTAACTGTGGAGTTCAAATACGTAGGCATTTCACCCATAATACACGCCTCTAAAGTCAGTGGTGCACAGAAAATATTTCATGGGTGAATGTCAGTCTTCATAGCCAAGATAAATTTAAGATTTACTGAACCCCTAGTACATGTACATACTCGATGAGTACATGGACTGTGAGACACTGGAAAACCTCTACTTATAGAACATGTGTAATAATTGTAATCTTCCTAGGGTTATCCTTAATCTATAAGCCCAATCACATGTGTTCCTTCCTCCAGATCACAGATGAAATAATTTTACATATTGATTTTAAGGGATTTCTATGTTCTTTGTGAATAATTATATTGTTAATTGTCTTATTTCTAAGTTGTGTATGTAGGGCCTACTACACAATATGACAAAATTTCAAGTTACTGTTGAATTTACTAGTATGTTGGTCCTACACAGACATATGCCTACTACATGTTTAAACACAGGGCTCTGTAGGCTAGTCTCGAGAAAAAAATAATTTTGACGCAAAAAATGCATACTTCATATGGAACTCATGAAAATCTAAAAAGAAAATCAAGCAAATGCATAATTCAAAACCACAGATTAAAGTTTTATTCATATGTTGCATTGTAATTTTAATTTTAAAAGATAGATACGAAAAATATAGAACACGCCGTAACAATTGCTAAGTCGCACATGAACTTTCAGTGGCGGATTTAGAGGGAGGGGGGGTCATGGGGGTCCTGACCCCCCCCCCCCCCCCCTTCGATTTCTGAAAAAAAATCCCGCTAATGGTCTCCTCTTGAAATTAGAATTTCAAGAGGGGGGGGGGGGGGGGGGGGGAGGGGGGGGGGGG